CCGCCATCCTGTCCCAGTGCCTTGCAAGAGGGGCCCCTGGGAGGGTCACAGCCCCGAATCCGGAGCTCAGCTTTGCTTCCAGGAGGGTGTGGTCATGCCCCAGCATGACCATCATTGCTGAACTAGCCAGGGAACTGCGTGGCTCAGGGCTGCCATGAGGAGGAGCTAGGTGGTGACCCTGAGCCTTGTGAGGGGGGGATGAGCCACTTTCTTTCACTGATCGTTGGGTCAGAATGTCCCACTCCCCAAGCATGTTTGATTTGGGACTGTGCCCAGTTCTTTTCCTCTCCCCAAGTGGACTGATTGTGACCTTGTAGGGGCAGGGAGTGGAGCAGCCCCAGGAGAGATTGGAGGCAGAGATTCTAGGTAAATGGGTTCATCTGCATCTCCCCTCCTCCTCACCACTCCTGCTTGCTCCGGGTCCCCAGCCCGTAATCTATGCCTCAGATTAATGTGTAAAGGAGACCCTGTCCTTCAGAAACGCACTTGGTGAACTCTCCTGCAAGACTGAAGATGAAGGAAGGGCCTAAAGGGTGAGGGATAGCTTCAGAGGCTCACATGAAGCTGGCAGAGTGAGGGTTAAGGCTGGGTAGCTTGGCTCTGAGCTGATCTGAGCCAGCACTGCCCCGCCCCGTGTGCCAAGGAGGGCGGGGCAGCAGGGGACCTTGAGGGCCAGCAGTTCCTAGCAGAGCAGCTCTGCTCTCGATTCTGCCAGACTTCCCACAACCACCAGGGAGCTCCGCCACCACCCGACTCCTCAGAGCAGGTGGCTGTTGCCATCGGCTGTCCCCAGGAGGGCGGACTTGGGGCAGGGCCTTCGCCACTTTTGTGCTTTGATCTAGATGTGGTCACCTCTTTCCCTGGGCCCCGCAGATCCTATAAAGGGAGGCTGGTTCTAGCGAGAAAAGCTCATTCGCCTCCCCAGTGCCAGGAGCCCACTGGAAAGGTAGGGTGTGAATGCATCTACTTTTGCAAGCTGTCTTTGAGCATCTTTGGCTGGCAAAGAGGTGGGAGAACTGCTTCAGGAACTCCCCTGTGCTGAATGTCTTCCTTCCTGTGTGCCTGATGCCACCTTCTCTGTCTGAGATGAAGGCAGAAGGGACAGAGTGACTTGCCCACGGCTGTGCAGCTGGTAGGAGTCTAAGTCAGGGCATGTGTGCACCCAGGTCAGTTTGGAGCCCCCCTCTTCACCTGCTTGCTCCAGTTTGTTTGCAGGGCCTGGGAGAGGTTACAGATTTCTTTTCGGAGCTCTTTACTTGATAGTTAAAAGAGATTCTTTGTTGAGTGGATGGCTTTGCTGTGCTTCCCTGCTCTTTCTCAAAGCCTCAGCCTTACCAGAGGCCCAGAGTCCCACTGCAAGACCCCTTTGCCCCCACAAACCAAGCTGACACCAAGGGAAGCTGGGGTGATGCTAAGGAGGAGGGAAGACTCTAAGGATCTTGCTGGTGGGAGTGGAGCTGGTCAGTGCCAGTCTGAAGAGTTTGAACTTTGGTTCAAACAGCAAGGAGCCAGGGAGGGTTTGTTTCGCTGTGTAATAACATGGTCACATCTGCTTGTCAGGAGAGTAACTGGCATCGGGTAAGCAAGGGGAAGGAGTGGTAGTCCTGGCTGCTCTTCGTGGTGGTTGGAAGCTGGCCTGGGCTGGCGTGGAGAGGAGTGGTCTGGTTTGAGAGCTGGTTGAGAAGTAGTCCTGTTGAGCAGATGCTGGTCTCAGGAGGCAGAGCGGAGCCTCGGGCCTCAGGCCCATTTCTGCAGGGACTGTGCTTTGGAGTTTGCCTCTGTTATCCACCTCCCTGGGACCACCATGCTTCCCACTGGGGCCCCTTCCCCTTCTCTAGCCTAGCATGATTGTCTAGCAGTGGCTTTCACCAGTAGCCTCTGTCATGTGTCCTGAGTCAGCAAGATTCAAGACAAGATAAGGCTGAAGTCTCCCCACCTCCCCACCCCTGCACCTGTTCCATTACTTTGGTATTTGACTGATGTGGACCAGAGGATAAGGTGAGAGGAGGAGGCAAGTTCCTGATGAGGGCTGGGAGCTCCCGGCAGGTGATTATTTACAAACACTCGCAGACACTCACTTGGCAACACCAGCACCAGCGACTCCCTAGGGTGGTGCTGTCTGCACAGACATTTGTACCCACGCTCACTGCTGCTGCAATTGGAAAGCCTCTTTGGGGCATGGAAGGGGACAGCCACAGTGGGGACCCCAGGAACTGCTGAGCCCCATTCTAGGTGCACAGAGAGGTATGGAGGTCAGTGGAGGCCAAGGCCTGCCCTGTTCAATAGAGAAGAGAGCAAACTCCCAGGCTTAGGTTGTGTCCTCCCCTGCCAAGGGCTTGGTGGCGTGGGCTGACTCCAAGGCCAGTGTCCTTAGAGGACCTAAATTTGCACTTCTGCCTGCAAGTTTGTAAGGGCTCTTAGGGTTAAGTGGAGACGGTCCTAACTCTGAAGTTGATGAACCCTGAAGAATAAGACCCTCTGGTAGCTGCCCAGACTGGGAGGGGCACAGGCCCGATTCAGGGCCAGGGAGCTGCTGGAACCACTGTGGATAACTCCTTAGTGGGGGTTGCCCTGAGCAGGAGCCTGAGGAATGGGCAGCCACTTGCCCTAGGCAGGTGAGCATGGTGCAGTCTTGCCTCCCACCCTGTGTGCAGCACACACAGCAGGTAGCCAGCCTGGCTAGATGATCCCCTGCAGGCTCTGGGGACCCCTGTACTTTCCCACTCCATAACCCGGCCTGGGCTTTGGAGCAGGCTGGAGCTGGTTTTCTGTGCACTCAGCAGCAGTGAAAAGGAGATGATGCATTGTGGGGCTGATAGGCACAGGAGGGTGGTTGGGGGTTGAGTGTGACTACCCTCCTTGCCTTCTGAGGAGGTGAATGCCTCAGTGGAGCTCACGCATCAAGGGGCTGTTAGCATCAAGTTGTGCCGTGTGCAGGCATATGCTTCCTTGGTGTTAGGAATCTAGGGAGCTGTGACCGTGGTCACATGGTAACTTCCTAAAGCACAGCAGACCCAGGAGGCCAGCCCCAAACTCAGGGCCCAGACCTTTGTACAATAGTTCATGGGCTCAGGACTTCACTTTGCGAGTTGAATCTTCAATTCCGAAAGTGCTTGTACACGATCTTTTTTTTTTTTTTAATTGGAAAGTCAGATTTACAGAGAAAAGGAGATACAGAGAGAAAGATCTTCTATCCACTTGTTTACTCTCTAAGTGGCTGAAATGGTTGATACCGAGCTGATCCAAAGCCAAGAGCCAGGAGCTTCTTCTGGTTTCCTACATGGGTACAAGGTCCCAAGGCTCTGGGCCTACCTGTACTGCTGTCCCAGGCCAAACACAGGGAGCCAGATGGGAAGTGGAGCCACTGGGACTTGACCTGGTGCCCATATGAGATCTTGGCATGTGCAAGGCAAGGATTTAGCCACTGAGCCTTCGTGCTGGGCCTGTTCCATACGCTTTACATGCAGCGTTTATGTTACCCTTGCTCCACCCAGAACCCCTTTCCTCCTTTTTCTTCAGTTTCATTGTCACATCACTTCCTTCCTGCAACCTCCCATCACTCCCCATCGATGTCAGGCCTCTGCTCTGGTCTGGACCACCACTGCCCACCCCCGCTGTGGTCTAGCACTGAGCTAGCTGAGGGCAGGGACCACATGAGACCCTATAATGTGGATGGGTGAAAAGGTGGGTTGTGCCTTGGCCATCTTAGGTTGTGCTCTGCAGAAGCTCCAGCACTGCACAAATGTCACATAAAACCGCTCGCGGCTGCAGTGTAGGATCTGTGAGCAGCTACCCAGGACCAAAGGCCGGGTGGGGAGGTGTCTTTCCAGGACTGCCTCTGGAGAAGCTCAGGGAACAGATATCTATGTCTTTCAGGGACTTGTGGGTCTTGGCTTCTGCACCTGTGGAATGAATTTACCTGAGAGCCTATGGAGCGCTGGGAAACATGTGTGGTGTTTGTACCTGATGCTGAGTCACTTTTGACAGACCGAGTTGTGACTTAGTCTTCTCACCTGTAGCTTAGGGAAATATGTGTCCCAAGCCACCTGTCTTCCTGCCCTGAGTCTTCCCCAGGAATCTTTCCTTGGTGAATGCACCACCATCTGTAGCTGGATATCTGCTTTGCTACTGCAGACCCCTGCTTCAATTGATGTGCCATTAGTAGGCAGTCTCTGTGGGGAGGCCTCACTACTGACCCAGCTCATAGAAGCTGGAGGGAAGATGGCATTTCTGGTTTGTGGCCTGGGGTTATTGAGAAGGTTCTGCTTATCTGGAAGCTCCTGGTCCTTGCTACTCTGGGGACACTCAGAGCCTGTTGGGGGTGGCTGGTGAGTTAATCCCAGGCTCAGACAGCCTGCAGGGCCCTCCGAGGAGCAGGAATTCCTGTGGGAGCCAAGGGGCCTGGCTCTAAATGCCTCATCTAGTGCTCAGATCAGCCTGGCCAGGCCTGCTTCTGGCCCATTATAATCTGATAAGTACATCCATTAGCCAAGTCTTTGGTCCTGTGACTATACCAGATGCCGTGTGAGGAGCCTTCTTGCTTATGTGGTGCTACACCTATTTTAAAGATGGGAAAGTGGAGGTGCAGGGCATGGAACATGTTCGACTTGAAGGAAAAGGGTTGTGAAATACAGAACTTTTCCTGCTCTGTCTGCGCCTCTGCTACAACAGTGTCTCAGTGTAAATCTCTTCACCCTCAGTGTTCACTGGCACCTACCCATGGCTGCAGAGTGGCCACTTTTACGTTTCTCCTTACTTCCCAAGAAGGGAAGCTACTGCCACAATTGCCTGGGCCTCAGGTCTGTGAGGAAGGTTATGTGGACAGTGCAAGGGGCCTGCTTCTGGGGAGTGCTGTTCTGTTCCCGGGAGACTGGCACGCCTACCAGCCCAGGGCCTGCCTGCCAGGCTGTTGGACCAGAGCCTCTTGTGGTCCGGCAGCACCCCGAGCCCACCCACCTGCCAGGTCTCTTCCCTCATCTGCCTCTTGTCATCTGCAGAGTTTGTCCTTTCACTTCTGGAGAAGATGCAGACGCAAGAGATCCTGAGGATGCTGCGGCTGCCTGAGCTGGGTGACTTGGGCCAGTTTTTCCGCAGCCTCTCAGCCACCACCCTGGTGAGTGTGGGTGCGCTGGCTGCGATCCTCGCCTACTGGTTCACTCACCGGCCAAAGGCCTTGCAACCACCGTGCGACCTCCTAAAGCAGTCAGAAGAAGTGGAGGTGAGCAGGGGAGCCTCCGGCTGGGGGATGTCATGGGCAATGGACTGGTGTTTTGAAGGCCCAAGTCCAGGGGTCGGCTTGTTTGACCCCAGAAGACCCAGAGAATCCTGATTTCCTGTGGCAGTCATCCAGTAAGTCTGTGGCTGCCTGGGTCGGGGTGTCCTACTTCCTTTCCAAGGGCCTGCCACTGGACAGAGCCTGACTTTGGCTTTGCCCTGAGGCCTCTGGGTAGGGGGTTGGTTCCCTGGTGTCTCAGGGGGAAATCAAACTAGGTCTAAAGGGCTGCCAAGAAAATTCCATCCCAGGCTCTCCTCGTGCCTCATCCTGGTTGGTGTTGGGACCCAGAACTGAGGTGCCCCCTGGGTTCTTCTGTGCCACAGCACCTGGGCTTACAGAAGGAGCTGCTGTGGGGCAACAGGTCTGCTGACCCAGCAGGTAGCCCTGGCTAAGCCTAGATGGACTGGTAGAGTTTGGTATTTTATTAAACTTGTGGAATTTGTTTTGCCTTTTAAAAAGTTGGTCTTTTTTTCCCCCATAAACTTTAACTCTGTTCATTTTCAGTGGATAGCATAATGCATCTTCAAAAAGCTCATGGAAAAATGTATATTATGAGAACATTGTGTCTAGATTTCGTTTATTTTTTCTTTTAACATTTATTTAGTTTTATTGGAAAGTCAGATATACAGAGAGGAGGAGAGATAGATCTTCTATCTGCTAATTCACCTCCAAAGTGGCTGCAGTGGCTGGAGCTGAGCCAATCCAGAGCCAGGAGCCTCTTCCAGGTCTCCCATGTGGGTGCAGGGTCCTAAGGTCTTGGCCGTCCTTGACTGCTTTCTTAGGCTGCAATCAGGGAGTTGAATGGGAAGCAGGGCTACCGGGACACAAACCAGCACCCATAGGGGATCCAAGTGCATGCAAGACGAGGATCCCAGCCACCAAGCTCTACGCCAGGCCCTGTGCCTGGTTTTCAGTGTGGGTTTTCTTTTTCTTTTTTCTTTGAAAAACTTTTTTTTTTTTAATTTTTCTTTCAATGAACTTTTGAAGCTGCCTTCTTCACATCTTGACACAGAACAAAAGAGACAACGAGGTGTGTACTGTAAAGCTCCTGATCTGCCTCGCTGGTGGCAGCCAGCCTCCTTTGAGGGTTCTGTCCTACGCAAGTACATGGAGATCCTGTCTCTTGAATGATGTGCTGCCCATTCTGTCACTGACTTCCTTGTTAGCTCTGGACAGTGCAAAGACAAGCATGGGAGAGTTTTGCCTGGAGAAGAAGGTCCAAGCCAAGATAAGGGCTGGGATCTGAAGGGTGGTGTTCTAGCCTCAAGAATGAGGTGTACAAAAGCACAGGTGCATGATACAGCACGTGGGTGGAAAGGGGCAGGCAGAGCAGTCGTGAGAATGGCCTTTGACGGCTGGCAAGTCCTGGCCTGAAGACAGGTGGTAAGTCAGTCGAGCTCTGGGTCCCTCAACACTTCCTCACCTGTGTGAGCCTCAATGTCCTGGGCTGTCAAGTGGGTAATGAAAGCAGCTCTCCCCAAGTGGGACAAGGATTTGAGGGAATGATGTAAAGAAATTGCTAAGAATGGTGGGATGGGCCGGGGTAGGGGACTGGTTGTGGTTGTAGCTGTTGTTTGGGTGTGTATATGCATATAAGCTTTTAAATATACATACATACATATATAAAGTATATTACGTGTATAAAGTATGTAAAAGTATATGTGTATACTTGTAAAAAGTTTATTTGAAAGGCAGAGTTACAGAGAAAGGAGGAAGAGACACAGAAAGAGAATCTTACATCCACTAGTTCACTACCCAAATGGGCACAACGGCTTAAGACAGGCAACTGGAGCTTCTTCTGGGTCTCCCATGACACGGGCCCAAACACTTGAGTCAGAAGCTTTCCAAGGCACATTAGAGGGAGTTGAATTGAAGATGGAGCAGCCAGGACTCAAACTGCATTGTAGGTAGAGACAGTGTGCTGTGCCATAGTGGCTGCTCCATATACAAGCTTTTGGCGGGAACTCACCTGGACTGATAAACAAAAACAAGGCCTTACTGGAGTGGCCAGCATGGGTTTATTTTGGGTTTTAGTTGGACAGAGATCTGCACAGATCATGCTGGTATGAGGAAACAGCTGTGGGTGTTGGAGGTGACAGTGGCCTCAACTGGGTTAGAATGGCAAGAGCATGGCTGTGGCTCAGGATGAGGAGGCCACACTGAGTGAGTTCCTTGGTTGAGAGACCAAGGTATAGTCGAAGCCAAGGCCTCCCTTTCTGGGAAGCCTGAGCCCTTCTTGGCCTCACCTTGGCAGTGGAGAAGGTCAGAGAGGCTGTAGGAGGGGCAGTGAGAGAGGCAAGAGGGGACCAGATCTGCTCTCTGTGCTCTGTGTTGGGAAACAGAATTGCAGTCACCTTACTTCCCCTGCTTGCATCTCTTCCCTGCCTCCCCACTGCCCAAAGTGCAGACACCTCGTCTCCTGGCTTTGGACTACCCCTGACCCAGTTATAGTGGCCATCTGTCTCTTCCTCTCTCTTACTCTGCCTTTCAGACAAATGAATAAACAAACCATCTGAAAATCCTAGGTTGACAGTCAAGCTGGAGTTCCTGACATATGCAGTAGCCTGGGCCTCCTCTGTCCCTGGAACACACTCCTCTTGCTGCCTCCTGCTTGTGTCCTACTGCTAACCAGAACTGACTTCATGTATCCCCAGCTGCCCACACCAGTCTTTCCTGATCCCAGTGTTTGCAAGCATTCCTTTCTGAAGCCCTTGTGAGCAGCCTGTGGGTGTTAGCATGGTGGTCCTTCCAGCCATTCTTCTTCATGATGTTCCAAAAAGAAGTGACAGGCTTTGGGCCATCCCAGGGCAACCCAAATAAGGCTCAGAGAAGAGGTGGCACTATGGCACTAGAGTTCTAAGCCAGTAGAGCCTGGGGAGGGCAGTAGGATGGGAGGGAAGGGAGGAAGGAAAAGCTTTGTTCCTCTCTGCTGCCTGCATAGCAGTGCTGGCTGTCTTCCTGCTCTGGATCTGCATGACCGAGGGCCCAGGAGCCCCCTGCCCTCTCCCCAACCCCAGCCGACTTGCATGCTTCAGCCTGTGCTCTTTCTAGCCTCCTCTGTCTGCGGTAAGGAGCTTCAGCATAGTCCACCTAGTTCATTCTGTTAATGTGAGTAGTAGACAGCAGCCTTCTTAGATAAAGTCTGTACCCAAATAGTTTCTCACTTAAGGGTGTAGAATTAACTCATGGAAGGGGATATCCAGACCGTCGGCCAGCGCTCACCTCTCCATCATGTGGATATGTGTGGACAGTAGATGAACACTCCAGATAGTTTGTGAATGCTGACCTGGTGCATAGGTGCTATTGAGTATCGAGTGTCTGCATGAGCCACTGGTGTCCTGGGTTGTGTGCATAAGCCAGTTCTTCAGTGTGGATGTTTAGATCCAGTATGTACTGTGTAGGCATGCAAAGATCATGTGTGTGGGAGTACCTGAGCACCTCCAGGCCTTTGGATCCAGTGTATAGTCGAGCTGTGTTCAGCCTTGAGCTTGCTAGGCCTCTCTCCTGGCCTGTCTCGCAGTCCCAGTCAGCTTCTCTTGCCTGTGCTTGACTTGTAGGACAGTGGTGGGGCTCGAAGGTCTGTGATCAGTGGTGGCCCTGAGCTGCTCACCCACTACTACGATGATGCCCGGACCATGTACCAGGTGTTCCGCCGTGGGCTCAGTATCTCAGGTGAGAAGGGCTTGGCAGGGATGGAGAGGATGGGTGAGTGCAAGGCTGGGTAAGCAAGCCCAGGCCGGGTGATGTGGCAGGAGAGCAGTGCCCAGGTTCCTGAGGGAGAAGCCACTCCCTGCCCCAGTCAGAGGAGCAGCCACCTTACAGGGTCATAGATTCAGCTTTGTTTGAGCTCCCCAGGCTGCCTCATTACAGACCATCTCTTAGTCCATAATGTATATGCCCCACTGGCAGCTGCTGTGCCAGGTTTGATGGCTTTGAACCTGAGCCTCTGCAATGCCTTGGTGCCCCCAGGATGGGAGGCATGGGGATGGAGTTGGAGGGCAAGCCTGCCACCTCCTCCCTGTGGCCCTCTAATTATCTGTATCCTTTTGGGCCTGTAGTAGGGACCATCAGCTGAATCATGGAGTGCTTGGGCTCTGCACTGATTCCATTACGAGGCTTCCATGGTCTCTGGGAGGTGCCAGGCTTGTGTACTTACAGCCCTCTTTGGTGTTAGCAGATTAGAAAGCCAGCTGGGTGAGGGGTGGGAAGTGAGAGGAATGCACTGGCCAATGGGACCCCATAGATGGACTGTTCTTCCAGGTGTCTGATGGGTAGTACAGGTGGCCCACCCTTCCTGCCCTCTTGCTTGTTTATCTCTGCAGGGAACGGGCCCTGTCTGGGCTTCAGGAAGCCCAATCAGCCGTATCAGTGGCTGTCCTACCAGGAGGTGAGTGACAAAGGCAAGATCCCACCACGCCCACTCATGGGATCTTGGTACGAGGGAGTGGGAAGCTTGGGGGGCACCCTGCTCGGTCTTGGCACTTTTTATTCCCCTGGCATGCTTGGCCAGTCTCCCAGCCTCTGGCTGCGGCCTGTAGGAGCTTTGAGCATCTACAGGCAGGCAACCAAGGCAGTCTCCCTGACCTATAGAAGCCCTGGCTGAGGCTCTTGGCTCTCCTGCTGAAGGGTCCTTGTCTTCACGGGACCTCCCTTGTGTCTATGCGCAGGTGGCGGACAGGGCTGAATTCCTAGGATCTGGACTTCTCCAGCACAACTGTAAAGCATCTACAGATCAGTTTATTGGTGTTTTTGCACAAAATCGGCCAGAGGTGAGCTTCTCCCTTAACTAACTCTTTTTTTTTTTAAGACTCATTTATTTTTATTGGAAAGTCAGATTTATAGAAAGAAGGAAAGACAGAAAGATCTTCCATCCACTGGTTCACTCTCCAAATGGTTGCAATGGCCAGAGCTAAGCCTGTCTGAAGCCAGGAGCCTGGAGTTTCTTCTGGGTCTCCCACATGGGTACAGGGTCCCAAGGCTTTGGGCCATCCTATACTGCTTATGGCCTTCCCAGGTCATAAGCAAGGAGCTGGATGGGAAGTGGAACATCCAGGACACAAACTAGCACCCATATGGGATCCCAGCATACGCAAGGCAAGGACTTTAGCTACTAGGCTGCTGCACAGGGCCCATCCCTTAACTGAATACAGGTATCTGTGGAATAGGGTTTGGTACTAGGGAACAGTTCTCCCACTGTTTGTAGGGAAACCCTTGAACCATGCCACACTTGCTTCCCACCATGGCTTTGTTCCCCATCAGGAACAGACTCTCCAGCCAGGATCCATTAACTCCACACCCACCCCCAACACACACAGCTTTGCAGACAGCTGCCCTTGAGCCAAGAGGGAGACCCTGGAAGTGGACATGGGATTGTTGGGATATGAAATCAAAGAGTTACTTAATGACTGGGGCAACCTGGTACAGAAGGTTGCAGGTGAGCAGGTGCAGAAAATCAGCCTCATGGACTCCTTGGCACACGCAGAGAGCCCATGCATAGGGCCTAGGACAGAACCCTGGTCACCTAGGCCAAAGGATGGTGCAGCTATTTTATCAACTCCCGTTTCCTGCCCTGTGTCTCCACAGTGGATCATTGCAGAGCTGGCCTGCTATACGTATTCCATGGTGGTAGTCCCGCTCTATGACACCCTGGGACCTGGAGTTATCCGCTATATCATCAATACAGGTAAGCCTCTCTGCCACTATTGGCCCCAGAGTCTCACTGCATGCTCCCCGTCTCTCACCCTGGATGTGCTTTGTTTCTGTTCTCAGAAAGCAGTAGGGGCTCACAGTTGGGCTGCCAGGTTGGCATCTTGCATCCCAGCTTTTCCCAGTTGGGTTTCACCTGGAGGCTGTTCCTCAGGCCTGGTCTGCAGAGGAGCCTCCAACACAAACTCCACCCAGGCTGCCGCTCTTGGAGGGTCTCAGCTGCTGGGAACAGTTGCTAGCGGGTGTGACTGTCTCAAGCCGGTGTGGGAAGAAGCAGGACTGAGCTGAGAGCCTGGAGTCAGCTCCAGGATGATCCCTCGCCCTCTACCCAGGACTCACAGCACAGTCCTGTGTGTCAGGCACACATCCTCATGGCCCAATTTGCACACAAGCTGTGGGCACATGCAGCCATGACAGTGCTGTCCTGGTCACAGCCTGACTCTCTGGTGACCCCTACAGCTGATATCAGCACTGTGATCGTGGACAAAGCTTGGAAGGCTGGCCTCCTGCTGGAGCACGTGGAGAAGAAGGAGACTCCAGGGCTCAAGCTGATCATCCTCATGGAGCCGTTTGAGGAAGCTCTGCAGGAGAGGGGGAAGAAGTGCGGAGTGCTGCTCAAGTCCATGCAGGCTGTGGAGGTGAGGGCCCGCGTCAGCCTGCTGGCTAAGCCGACCGCTGGCTGGCTGCTGCCTTGGAGCTGCTGGTTCTCTGCTCTTCTCGTGCCCTGAAAGGGTGGTTCTGGGTCCTCGGGGTGAACCAGCGGAGACAGGGAAGCTTTTGCAAGAACTGGAAGTGGATGCAGGAGTTGGTGCCCTCATATGTACTCTGTGAGACTGACCCTGTAGGTGGCACAGTTCATAGCCTCAGGCACTGATAGACTGTGATGATGCCAGCCTGCCCAGAAGGTACTGATACTTCCTTGTAGCCTCTCTACTTTTGTCTGCATCAGCCTGTCTGTGCCAAGAACTGTAGATACAAAGTCCAGGCATCTTGGTGAGGATTCTTGCAAATGCGATCCAGACCCTCAGTGTCAGCAGGATTGATATTACGGGGCATGGCCTCCCCAAGGCATCAGTTGGTGGCAGCTTGTGGCCTGCTGGGGCAGTGCAGGATATCCTGGCCTCCAGGGCTTCAGGCCGTGCTCAGTAGCACCTGCTCACTGGTGGCAGGGCCTGAACCTTCTCCATCTCCTCCCGCTCCCCCATCTATGAGCATGTACACCTCCAGCAGCCATACCTATAAGCCCAGGCCACCCAGCTTGCACTCACACCCTGTGGGCAACCTCTCCAGTGCGTCCCAAACTCTGAGTGCTGTCTGTCCTCTTGGTACATGCACGATGCCTTGGCTTGCCCTGGACTCATGCTTATGTCTGTGAGGTGTGGGTGAGCCTGTGACCTGCAAGCTGGCCACTCCTTCTGCAACAACCCTCTCTTATAGGAGCCTCAAGCTAGACCTAGGAGAGATCTCCACCAGGAATGGGCGCTAAGTGGTGGCCACACAGGTGGCATCTTCAGGGAATCCTGGGCTCTGGGACTCATTTAGGAGCACTGCCCACTATGTTGGGGTTTGTCTGGTCTCTCTTTCACCTGACTTCTGAGAGCTTTTGAGCTTTTTTTTTTTTTTAAAAAGCATTTTCTCGTTTCAGGACTGTGGCCAGGAGAATCACCGTGCTCCCGTGGTAAGCACATCTGTCTGCCCACGGGTCCTTCCTGGGCAAGGTGGCGGGTGGAATCTGTCCTCACAGGAACCTCTCCTGTGTGACCTTCATGACTGGCACTTGCCCGGCTCCCAGGCTGCAGCCTCCAGCAGCCTCCAGCAGCCTCCAGCAGCCTCCAGCAGCCTCCAGCCTTGGAGAAGTGCTTGCCGCTCACTGACTTCCCACAGCCTAACTCTTGTGTCTCTGCACCTGTGCCCAAGCTAGTTTTCTCTCCTCAAGTTGACCTCCCACTTCATTTAGAGAAATCTTGCTTGCATTTCCATCTCTCTCTTTTTAAAAAATATTTACTTATTTACTTGAAAGAGTTACAGAGAGAGAGAGAGATCTTCCATCCGCTGGTTCACTGTCCATAGCGTTGCAATGGCCAGAGCTGATCCAGTGCCGAGCTGGGAGCCAGGAGTTTCTTCTGGGTCTCCCCTGTGGGTGCATGAGCCCAAGGTCTTAAGTCATCATCCTGCTTCCCAGGCCATTAGGTAGCTGGATTAGAAGTGAAACTGCCAGGACTTAAACTAGTGCCATACCATAAGGAATGCCAGCACTACAGATAGAGGATTAATGTGCTATGCTGCCACACTGGTCCCATCTCAGTTCATATACTATCACTTCAAGGAAATCTATCCCTGTATGTGAAAGAGACTTGGTGATCTCTGCCTGGTGACTCTGGGACCGTATGCCCTTGAGTTGGGCCCAAGTCTGGGTGCCAAGCAGTTTGGGTGACACAGTGTATAACTCAATTCTGTAGTCCCATGTTGTGTTCCCAAGTCCATCCTCAGATATGTGGAAGAAAATAGGAAGGAAGGGGGGAACTGAGGCACATTGTCAGCAGGATGAAGGCTTTGGCAGGGGTGTAAGTGTGGCCACTGCTGCCTGTTTCCTCCCAGGAGAATTTAGCTGAGGGTTGAGGAAGAGAAGACAGAGGGCCAGGTGTGGGGGAGTGGTGGGCCAGGTCACTGTCCACACCCCAGTTTGGTTGCCTCAGTTTCTTTTTCCTTTTCCTGAGCGCATGCTCGGCACCTAGCCATACCCACCTGCAGCACTTGCAGGGCTGGCTGGCAGCAGGGCCCAGGCATCTCAGGCTCTGCCCTAACTGGCTGTCCTGGTTCTCCCTAACACATGCCTCTTCTCACTCCTGCAGCCCCCGCGGCCTGATGACCTCTCCATTGTATGTTTTACAAGTGGCACGACAGGTAAGTAGAGGTAGCCTGGTTGGCAGGCAGGGTCTCCCGCACCCATCCCTGGCAGCCTGGTAGCTGACCGCAGTGGTATCATGGACCCTATCTGTGAAATGGACTGAGCCTTGTCTGATGCCTGCCTCCAGACACTGGGGCTCCCTCGCTGCTGCTGCCAGTGACCAGTAGCAGGCAGCAACAGGAGTGGCCAGTTGCAGAGGAACAGAGTGGGCTGGGAGGTCCAGATACTGCCAGGAGAGACCTTGGCAGTTGGGTACACGTGCTGCAGGTAGGACTTACCTCCTTGGGTCTCTTCTCTTTGGGAAACAGCTCTTGCCTCAGGTACTTCCCATTCCCAGCCTGGCCTGTGACTGCTTGCCAGTAACTGGAGAAAGAGTGGAGGGGGTGGCAGTTGAGAGTCTAGGGTGAATCCTATCCCAACCCCTTGCTGTGGGACACTCACTACCGCCACTGCCCTCACAATTCCTCACCTGTGAGGAGGTTAGTTAAAAAGTGTCAAGAACGAGATGGAGTTGTGGGTGAGAAGGCAGTGCAAGACTGGGAAAGACTGGTGGGGAGGACCCAGTGGAGAGGCAGTGCTCCTTCCATGGTGCTAATAGAGGAACACTTGCATCTGCATGGACAGGGACAGTCAATGAAGGCTTCCGGGAAAGGTAGGATGCTCCCAAAGTCCATGGCATAGCATAGCACAGATCAGTGTGCCTGTTCATCCTCACTTGGCCTCTGAGGTGAATGAGCTGGCCAGCATCCTTGCTCCGGGAGGAGGTGGTGGGGGGGCTGGGGCACCAGAACCTGTGCCCTCTCCCATAACTCCCAGTCCAGATCTTTTTTCCTTGCTACCTCTCCATCTCAGCTAACAGGACAGGCAGACAGCAACTTGCCTTGTCTGAGACAGAGGAGACGCTCCCAGGTTTTCCTAGACTAAGGACCCATCTGTCTTGACGATGGCTCTTGTGGACATTGAAGGGGGGCTCCCCACAGCTTTGATAGCCTCGGAGACATCTGTTGAGCCATTGACCAGCTCCATGAGCAAGGTCATTTGTGTCCATGGGTCGTGATTGACATGGCTTTATTCACTTTAACTTTTTTCTCCATTGTCTCAAGTGGGTTTAAAGATTGATACTATATTCTGCTAAGCCCCATCAGAAAAGAAATCCAATCTGTCTACAGGAGCTAATGTGTGCACTTATGTGCTGTGCATGAGATCCAGCACAAGAGACTGAGTATGAAAGAGTGAGGAAGACACACCTTACAGCCGTGAAAGGCCAATACAGACAGGATTCTCAGGAATCAGCCTGAGAGTCCTGTGAGATCACAATTAGAGAAGAGGCAGAGGGGCATTTCCCAGCAGAGGGAATAGAATGGGCGGAGGACTGGCAGTAGGACAGAAAACACCATTCCAAGGGAGGCAGAGTGCGCAGGGATCAGGGCTCAGGAACAGTGATAAGAGCTGAGTAAAGGGTGGGAGAGGGCGGTGGGTGGGAAAGAGTTCCAACTGGCTGTTGTGCAGGTGCAGTGGGGAAGCTACAGAAGAACTGAGTCTGTGAGCATTGTCTATGGTCAGTAGACCCCAAGAGGTATTGTCACAAAAGCACCTGCCAGTGCTCTTCATCATGGGGTGTGGAGTAGAGAAGCGGTGGATAGAGGCCTGAACAGTGTGTATATAATTCTCCCAAGAGGCCTGAACAAATGAGTGTGTACTTAGTTTTTCCAAGAAACTTGGCTGTGTCACTGAAGCCAAGCTCTGTCATGCTCACAGCAACGCGTTTGTTAGGATGAGCTCTGGAGTTAATTCACACGCCTGTCAGCAGGAGGGTGTTTTTTGCCTGCTAGGGTGGTGTCTTGCAAAGCTGAGCAGAGAACCGAGAAATAAAAGATCATGTTATTTTATCTAAAATTGCAAAGCTTGATGAGGCACTCTTGGGCTTTGGAAGTCAGAACAGCAGTTGTCTTGTGGGAGAGGGGTGCTCTGAAAGGATTCCAGGGACTTCTGGGATACTGGTGAGCTCCTGGCTTTGTCCTGGGTGCTGTGGCACAGGTGAGCTTACTTGGAGAAAACCCACTGAGCTGTATGCTTATTTGGGCCTTTTTTCTTGCCATATGCTATGCTAGAAGAGAACTGTTGTTCTGAGCTGTGAAGAGATGACAAAGAATGAGAATGGGAGCTGGTGGGTGCCAAGGGTTGGGGGCTGTTTTCTTGAAGACTACTGAGATGTTTCTTAGAGTTGAGAAGTGATCACTGGACTTAGGAGTAGGAGAGGCAATGCTCAGAGGGGAGCAGAACTCCTGAAGTTTTGGTCTGTTGGGGGCAGGGAGGAGGCCTGCTGAGAAGCGGGGGAGGCAGGTGCAGGTGGGACTGGATCAGAGTCCAGAGGACACACTCTGTCAGTTGCTGTGAGAGGTGTCCCCTGGCACTGGAACTACAAATTTCCAGGGCCATGACTGGGCGGGGTGGAAAGGAGCAGCTGGATTGATCTGGAGACGGTTGCATAGAGGAATCCCGCAGGTGGGAGGAAACCTGGGCGTGGAAGTGCTGTGCCAGCGACAGACTGAATCCTCCTGCAAAGGAGAGAGGGGGATGAGGGGAATGTGGGAAAGGGGTTTGTACTGGGAAGGAAGGAGCCAAGTAGGTCTTCTGCACTGGCATCAGGAAGGGAAGCCTGGAATAGGGGCATCCTTTCTGTTCTGAGTGATGCCTATTAAGTCCAGCCAGCTGCACTCACTTCCGAAGCATGTAAATGCCCAACCGCCTTGTTCTCAGCAACAAGCACTCACCATCACCTGTTGATTTTGTTCCCTTGGGTATAACCCCACACACAAAGGTGTATCTCGGCTGCATCTGCTGTGCAGCTTCAGAATTATTTCACCTTGCCCATGCCTCAGTTTCCTTGAATGCTAAACAGACGGTTTTTACACCAGCTGTGCCAAGTTGTTTCAAGAAATTACTTAGATACTGCGAGTAAAATGCCTAGCACATTAGTGGATGTCCTGTAACGTAGTTATGATTTCTTTCCGTGCTGGCCCTCAAGTCTGATATAGAAAGCAGAACTTATTAGTAAAGGATCAGTAGAAGTCAAACTCAATTCTAAAGGAGGTTTGGAAGCCTGTAACTGGGTGATGAGCTCCTGCCCTGTAACATAAAACTTGTGTATCTGTTGCAGCTCACATTTTGTTAGATAAAGGCAGAAGCAGGTGGCCATAGGAGCCCTCAGCATGGTTGCCAAGCCTCAGTTCCACACATGCAGGGCAGACACAGACATGCACCCAGCAAAAAGCCTTAGTGCATAACAGCCGTGGGAGGCCCACTGAGGGACACTGGCTGAAGCCAAAGGGCTGTTTGCAGGATCTGAAAGGAAGAGTTACTTCATGAGCCAGGGAGGAAATGAAGTGCAAGGAGAATCAGTTTACAAGTTGGCAGTGGGAAATGGGCAGTAACTAGGCTGCACACTGCTGGGACATGGGGATCCCGTGTTGGGGGTAGCACCTCTTGGAGAGGTTGCCGGGGAAGGTCTGCGGTTGGATCCTGCCTCCTCAGTCACACAGAGGTCTCTCTAGAAGGACGTAGTTTTTTTGTTCCCTGTGGGCAGCCCAGATCTTGCATTGGAAAGCTATGCCATGGAGAGATCTGCTTGTTGTGGATCCGAGAAGCAAGCAGGTCTCTGAAGCCTCATCCCATACACCCCCACAGGCGTTTGCTGTCTCCACCCAGGATCTGTCACCAGCATTCGCTTCACCTCTTCTTATCCTTTGGGCCCACATCTAGCTATGACTTGAGATAATCTGAGCACAACAGAATATTTAAAAATACTGTGAAGTTGTGCAGAGTTGATGACACTACATCTGTAGTCACAAGAAAACCCTGGTTTTTAAAAGGTGTGAAACTCTCCATCATGCTGAATAAGAGAGGTCTTTCCACTAAGCAGGATTCCGTAACTACTGACTACTCTTGAGTGGGGTGTGGCCTCAACTGAACAGAGGTTTCCAGATGAAAACTTTTTTTCTGAGAGTCTCAGATAATCCACCCTGAGCAAATCCGCTGCGTCACAAATCTGAAACAGTAACACAGGGCTCCACGTAGTTTATGATGGTTATGATTTCGGATCTAGTCTTTGGGAACGTTTCTTAGGAACTTCCAGAAGCTATGAGTCCACAGATGAAAAGTGAAACTCAGAATACTCTGTGGGATCCGTGTCTAAGACTTCTCAGGGACATGTCTTACAATGGGCGTGGGTTTGAGGGTGGATGTCGCGTGAACAGGCTGTGGCAGGTCAACCCAAAGCCCCTTTTCTCTTTAAAAAGAATATATTTTAACTGTTGTCTTTTAGAAAAATGTAACTTTCAAATCACTTTTTGTTGAAAGGTTTATTTATTGGAAGGCGGAGTGAAGGAGAGGTAGGGACAAAGAAGATAGAGCTCTTTCACCTGCTGGTTCACTTTTTGGTGTCCCATGTGGATACAGGGGCCCTGGTACTTGGGCCATCTTTTGCTGCCTTCCCAGGCCTTTAGCAGCAGAGCTGTATTGAAAGTAGAACAGCCAGGACATGAATCAGTGCCCAGTGTGGGATGTGGGTGTCATAGGCAGAAGCTTTACCGGCTATACCACAGCACCAGCCCCACAAACACATTCTTAGTTCAGAATTACAAGTGTCAGTCCCAATTAGGCATTGGTGCACTTGACTTAAACATCCCTCCTCTGTGAGGGCCAGCAGAGGGTCTCACTGTCCAGCTTCTTTTCTTCTCTGCTATTTTCATGTTTCTGTTCCCCAGCTTGCTAACAGGCTCCTGCCCTGGGAAGGGAGAAGAAACATTCAAACTCGTTTTTTTGTTTTTGTTTTTGTTTTGTTTTTTAGAATCACTTCTTTGTATTTAATTACTTTTTAAAAAATTTATATATTTTTTATTAATTACATTGCATTATGCAACACAGTTTCATAGGCTCTGGGGATCTCCCAACCCCTCCCCGAACCTTCCCCCTATGGTGGATTCTTCCACCTTGTTGCTGTATTACATTTCAAATTCAGTCAAGATTCTTTCATTGGAAGAGTATACCAAGCATAGAGTCCAGCATCTTATTGTCCAGGTAAATTCAACAGTTTCTTGGGGAGACCATCTCTGGTCTGAAGGCAGAGCTGGCAGAATATCATCCCATCCAATGAAAAACCACAACATAACATCAATGACAATTTACAACATTATGGAATTAATTGACATGGTATTGAGTAACCAGTAAGTTAAAAACAATGCAAGTTCTTAACCACATTTCAATTTTAGTTTATACACAGAACCAGCTGCTATATACCTTAAAATGGCTATAGGGTACTATTCAGCTGTCTCGTGTCTATTTTCATTTTAGTATTTAGCAGTTTATAGTGTTGAAGCATAATTTTGCTGAACTTGGCAGATTTTAGGATAGTCTAAACTGGGTTATAACTCTAACAAGGCATATGTCAACAATTGAGGTGCAGAAGTTTCAGGAGGGCTGTGCAGAGAAATCTTCAATACCTTAGTGAGGAGTAATTAATATTTGTGTTCTACCTAGTAAGTACGTGTGGGTCTGTGCTGGCCATTTCCTGTCTGGTTCTAAGCTTTCCCTGTTGTACTCTGCTTGTCTAGTCTAATTTGTGTGTGTGTGTGTGTGTGTGTGTGTGTGTGTATGTTTTGGTGGAGCTCTGAAGCGACCCTGATGGTCATTGCAAGAGAGGGTGGGGATCCAAAGTTGCAACTAAGTAAGGGCCAGAGAAAGCTCCTCTCCCTAGTCCCGAAGGAAGTTTATTGTTCTCAAACTCGTTTTTTGTTGGATGACACTTGCCTGTGTTCTCTTGATGCAGCCAGTGCCCTTTCTTGGGTCATTTGCTGTCCCCTCCCCACCACTTGACAAGTGGGCTCCTTCCCCCCCCACAAACTGACTGCATCCTGATGTCCCTTTTGTAATTGTCATATTCATCTCCAGGACAAAGTGGGTTTTGGCTTTGCTTTTGCTAAAAAGATTTCTTACAAATGTCCTCCGGTACTTCAGGGAGCATGTGTGGACTCCTCGGGTGTTCTTTCTTGATTTGAGTTAGTGTGGGCTTTATGCTGGGCTTGGGAGAAAGGATATTTCTTTTTGTGTCTTAATGTCTTATACAATTCCATGTAGCTCTTTCCAAAGAAATGCTTCTCAGAGTCTCACAGTCTCTCTCTCTCTCTCTTTCTCTGCCACTGGGGCAAATTCACATAGCTTAAAATTAATCATTTAAACTGAACAATTCAATGACATTAAGTACAATACTGTGCTAGTCTCTGTTCAGTTCTTTCATTACCTCCTCTGGGAGAGTGTTGTAAAGTTAGCACATTGGTTTCTTTGCTATGTAAATTCGGCATGCCACCACCAGGATGCCACAAAGGAGTTTGCTTTTGCAACTTCACAGCTGTTGTACCTGCTAATTTCACATGAAGGGGAGGTGGCACCTGCCACACCTTTTGTACATAGTTTCTGTCCTTAGGCCCTACAGCAGCCCAGCAGGGTTGAACACTGTTCCTATTTTTCAGGTGAGCAACAGAAGAGAAATGACTGACCAGGGTTTTGCCAGGAGTGGCAAGCCTTTGGTTGGAACCCTGGCAGACCGGCCCAGCAGCTGGATCAGGGCAGTGTTCACCCCAACATGAATGGTTCCCATGCTGGCTTCCCTCTCCTGTCTGTCCAGCTGGGCCACTTTCCCTTTTCCTCAGAGCCTCTGAGTCATCCCAGTATCCCCTGGCTTCCTGAAGTGCCTGGAGAGCAGGTCTGTTGAGCAGTGAAAGGTCCCTGGATGCATCTGTGTCCCATCTCTGCCGATGAGCAGGAAGAAGGAGCTGTCCCATCCTGTGGGTCTCCAGCCTGGCCTGAACGTGGGACTTTGCCTAATACAGGAAGTCATTGTCTGCATATCGGGTTGTGAATTCAACAATGGAGCACTGACTGTGTGCAAAGCGACTGGGGCGTGTGTTCTTGGGGAAGCTTGCGAGCACTTCCACCTGCCCAGAACTCTGAAGGTGATGGGGATGAAGACCAGGGGTTCAGCAGGACTCTGCCTGGGCCTGCCGGCTTGCAGTGTTCTCAGGGAATGACTGTTAAGTTCCCAGCTAACTGATGTTCTTGCTTTCTTTTCTCAGGGGACCCAAAAGGTGCGATGCTCACCCATGGGAACGTGGTGGCTGATTTCTCAGGCTTCCTGAAAGTGACTGAGGTGAATAAAGTAAACTGACCGTTGCAGGTGTCCTGGGGAGAGCCTCAAGCCTCAGGGACTTTTCCTTTGCTTGTTCCAGTGTAGTCTGGGCTGTTACTCACAAGCAGGAGTTTCTGTTCTCATCAGAGCAGCCCTACCGTTACCCGCAATGCGGAAATGGCCCCTATCTGATAAGGTGTTCTATAGATGTCTAAGAGTGCTGCGACCCCATAGGAAAAAAAAGCACGTAACCTTTTTTGTTTTTCATTATTATCCTGTGGTTTTGTTGTGTACTCTTTATTTAGAAAGCATTCCTTGATGTTTTCCGAGAGACCAGGGTTTAATTCATGCATTTTGTGTTTAAGGGACTACTAGGGTCTGAGAAACAGCGGCAACTGCTAATTTATAAGGCTGTCCTTAGAGGTAATCTAAAATCAGAAAAAGCTTGATCTCTTGGGCTGACAAAAGCATGTTAGTGTTTTATAACCGGTAAGAAAGGAGGCCCTTTCCCACACATGGTGAGTATGTCCTGTGCTTCCCCTCAGGGGGATGAACGAACCTTCTCAGGAGAGTGAGTCTCAAGTCTGCTGGGGAGAGGCTCCCACGCATCCCTGCCTTGTGGCCTGTGGAGTGTGTGCCCCCTCAGTACAGCTCTTGATGTCCAACTGTTGGAGATTGTTGGTGACTGAGCCAGGGTTAAGAGCCATGGGCCAGACTCCCAGGATTCACCCATACTGGTCCAGAACCAGTCCAGTGGAGAAGAGGCTTCTATGAAAGGGTGGGCCACAGGGAAACCTAAAGGCGCAGGCTCCTGCCAGGCAGCAAGAGGAGTTCCTGAGGAGTTGGCTGCCCCCAACGTCCCCATGCTGGTGGAGCATGGGTCTAGGGGCTCCTTCTCAGCTTTCCACACTAAGGTCCTGGTGACGTGAGAGGCCACCTTCAGCTGTCTTGCTAGTACTTGGCCTTGTGTCCTCTGTCTGGGGCTTGGACTCCAGCCACAGTTGGCATAGACAAGATTCTCTGAGCCTCTGTCTCGGGAGGAAGGATGAGGAAGTGCTGAGACGCCAAGGCCCTCAGAAGCCCCAGCGGCCTAGGGAGACTAGAGAAGTGGGGTGTGGAGTGGAGCCTGTGGTGGTGGGGAGGAAGAGGAGAGAGCCAGGCTGGCGCCGATGATGACTGCGAGGGAGGTGCAGGCCCTCCCGAGAAATGCCCTGCGGAGCCCGCTCTGCTGGTTTATGGGTGCTTCATGTGACTCTTTGCTTCTGCAGATAACCTAGATCCACTGGCGCTGCGACCTAACACTCTGCTTCCTATGCTGCCCTGTCTCTTCTTTCCGTACCTTTGCTGCCTCCTGTTCCCTCTCCCTTTCCATCTCTCTCCCTCTCCTTGCCTTTCCTCTTTTCTCCTCTCCTTTCCTCTTTGTCATCTCTCCCCAACCCTTTCTCACCTCTCTGTCTCTGACTTTGTCCCTGTTCCCCTCTCCCCTCTTCCTGTTTGCCCATCCAGGACCATTTTCTCTTTATTGTTTTATGACTCTCTTGTTGTCTTCCTGTCAGTGTTTCTTTCCTTTCTGTCTCCCATGCCCGTCACCTGCAGAAAGTGATCTTTCCGAGACAGGACGATGTGCTCATCTCCTTCCTGCCTCTGGCTCACATGTTTGAGAGAGTAATCCAGGTAAGCTGCCCGCCTGGCTGACCGGGACTTGCCTGGGCTCCCTGTGTTTTCTTACAGAGTCAGTGGGCTCCCACTTGTGCGGATGTGCACTTTTCCTATTTGCCTTTAGCACACATGTTTGAGCGAATGGTACAGGTAAGGCCCTGGCATCAGGGAGGCACGGTGTGTGCCTAGAACCCATAACCCTAGTTCGGTGTCACTTCTCACTGGTGGCATGAAGTAGGACTAAACTGCCCTGTTCTCAAAAGGTAACACAGAGGGGTCTGCTTGTTTCCTCCTGGAGCTTGTCTGAGCCACAGACATACAAGAGCTAAGAGAGATCCTAGCTGATGGCACTGCAGTTTTGCAAAAGTGTTGTGTGTTCATGTCCAAAACACCTGTGTTCCATACCTTTTATAACTCACCACTCCCAGAAAAGAAAACAAGGCATCAGGTTAAGGGTTAAGCTGTCACAGCTCCTTGGCTGTCCACAGGGGCTCACATTAGAAAGAGCCTGAAGCAAGCCTTGTGTTGGGGTACAGGCACAGTGGGGCAAGACTCCCTATATATCTGTGAGGACATCTCCATGCGTGTGTCACTCAGGGAGCCGGCCTGTAAACAATCGGGACTTTAAGCTTTTCTCTTTTACCTTGAGAGGAAATGTGTTATAATGGAGCGTGCTTCTTCCTTGCAGACCTGGTGTGGAGTGCCAGCAATGACCATGAACTGATTTTGTGGCCCTGAGAAAGTTTTTAGTTCCCTCAGCCACACATTCCCCACCTGTAAAATGGGATGAAGAATGTTGCCTCCCGTATTAGATTGCTGGGAGTGCTAGAGGACAGAGTGTATATACGTCCATTTGTGTACTCCTAGTCCTGTTAGGAACCTTTAGTACTAACCACTACCACAAGGCAAGAATAACATCATGTCTAGTACCCATGGGTACAAAACTGGGGAAGCCTCAGGACTCTCTAAGACCTGGAGTGACATAGTGGGAGGGTGTATTACATCTCTGAAACTATGTCTCCATGGTGGCCTGTGTCCAGTAACTGGACAGTTACTGGGAGTTACTGAGCAGTAACTGGGAGTGAGTGCCAGTGAAAATGGCCCCGTGGCATCTCCCCAGGGCTCAGGACTCCACTCTGGATCCTCTGTCGTCTTTCTAGATGGGACTTCCTGGGAAGGTGGGGACTGTGGTCAACTCGGATAGCCACCTTGTCTCGTGGCAACAGCCAGAACTGAGTCAGGGTGTCAGCATGCCTTTCACATCGGCTGGAATTTTAGGTAGCTCTGGACTATGTCTGGGAATGATGGCCCTAATGGACTCCTGCCCTGTTCTCTCCTTCCAGTCTGTTGTCTACTGCCACGGAGGGCGTGTTGGCTTCTTTCAAGGGGACATCCGCCTCCTCTCAGATGACATGAAGGCTCTTTGTCCCACCATCTTCCCTGTAGTCCCACGGCTGCTGAACCGGATGTATGACAAGGTGAGTTGTGTGTGAGTCCTCTGGCCAGGCTGAGAGGCTGCACAGCTGCTTGCAGATTCTGTCTGCCTCCACCCAGCTTACTCTTATATTCTCTGCCTCTCACACTCCGTTCTTTTGTTTCTTCCTGTTTAGGGAGATTTTGTCTCAAAAACTTGCATCTGCACTGAGCATGCCTGGGTTTTGGCACTGTTACTTTTGGGTTCCATGTCACACATTCAGGGGCCCCATGCAGGGGCACAGTGGAGCATGGCTTCTTTGCTGGCCAGTCTGGGCCTTATTTCCGGCCATGGGGGTGTAATGAGGTGAGGTCCTTGGGGCCCAGACAATGTGTCCAACTTGTCTCGTGCAGATCTTCAGCCAGGCGAATACACCTGTAAAGCGCTGGCTCCTGGAGTTTGCGGCCAAGCGTAAGCAGGCAGAAGTCCGGAGCGGGATCATCAGGAATGACAGCATCTGGGATGAGCTCTTTTTTAATAAGATCCAGGTAGGAAAATGAGCAAGTGATTCTGGAGTACACCTGTGTCCAGTGAGTGACCTTACAGGAGAACTGGAGAGGTTTGAGCCTTTACAGAAACAACCTGTAGTCTCTTAACACGTGTTATATGTGCTGAGAGCAGCTAGCAAGAAGGGTCCCCTGGGAAGGAGGGTCCTGACCACCCCAAGCAGCACGCGGCTTTGACCATGGCAATCAGATCAGTGCTCCACCAAGATGTTTCTGAGACCTGAAGTTCTGCTTGCCCCTCCTGTGACGTTGGCAGTGATTTCCCAGTAGCACCAGGGCTTTAGCCAGGTGGCCATGAGTCTTCTTTTCCATGCCAATTTCTTATCCCTTCAATCTCTCCCAAACCAGATTGGTTATGAGTTACTCATTTCTGTGTGTCTGCTAGTCTTCAAGCTCTACATGACCCAAGGAATCTGTAATTACCAGCATTACTCATTTTTATTCTTGCTGCTCTATTTTTAGCTATGAAAATTAATATTTGAGCTCTCTTGGCTCAGCTTACAGAAACAAAGTGTTTCAAGTATTCTTTTGTCCTCTGCGCCGCATAGTAAATAAAGGATGGTATTGATTTATACATGAAAAAAGAAAATGCCATTAAAATGGAGGTTGGAAGAAATTGTTCTAAGTAATTGCTTGAATGCTTTGTGAATGATGGGAGGGTGAAAAAGCAGCTGTGTATTTCAAGGAAGCAAGAATCCATATTATAGAATGCCAAACAGAGGAATGGCACGTTCCTTGGAAAAGTTGGTCACATTATGGGTTGAGTGGCTGGGAAGGTTGGATTTATCATTTGGAGCAAGGAGGGACTTCCTGCAATTAGGGTTCGGTGGTTGAGTGTGGACCTTGAACAGGGCCTGAGTGGGCTGGATGCCATCACAGGCCTTTGTCCTAGGCAGGTGCGTCTCTGTCCCTACAGGCCAGTCTTGGTGGGTGTGTGCGGATGATTGTTACTGGAGCAGCTCCTGTATCGCCAGCAGTCTTGGGATTCCTCCGGGCAGCTCTGGGATGCCAGGTATTGACACTGGGTGGCCTTTCTTGGAGACAGAGGCATGTGTGTTTGGACAGGAAAGTAGTATCACATCCAGTGTACAGAAAAAGATATAAGGGACACGATTTGTCAGAACCAGTGAAGGCCAGGATGACCTTGATGCTTTCTAGGAAGCCCAGGTGTGTTAACTCTGGGAAATTCCTTTCCCTCGGTGCTTGCAAGTTTTCAGCAAAGGACAGAGGGATCAGTTAGCCTAAACATGGGCCATCAGTGTTCTGGAGAGGCCCCTGCTCCTGTTCTGCATCCCCAGCCCACAGAGTGCATTCCTCTCTTCTCCCGGCCCAGGGAAAGAGCACAGGGGGAGGTAACGCTCATGTGGTTGTTGTTACTTGCTTCAGTAAGCTTTGAAAGACTTCTTCCTTCATTTATCCATTCAGTTGATGTTTATTAATTTCTCACATATGCAGCATGTTGGGACATGGTTGTGGCCGTTGAGTTTGTGTTAAGTAAAGTAAACGTATCTAGTTCATGACTGAGCATGCCTACATGCCTTATGAGCCATTGAGGTTCTTACATGTTTGTCTTATCTCACACCAACGCTGCCTGACCCCTTCTAAAGGCAGACTCTCCCACGTGGTGTTTTCATGCAAATCAGCCACACTCTGGAGGGGAACATCTTACAGGGACAAAACATGTAATGGGTTGTTTATCTAACATGCAATATCCAAAAGAAAAGTGAAGTCAGTGGTCAGACATCCTTATCTAGATTACATGACTTTATCTACTAAATGTCTGGGAGAAAACAAAGCAAAACAAAACAAAACCACTTCTTTCAAGCAAAAGTGGCCTGCTTGTCTGCATTCAGCTTCATCTTGGGTCACCAAAGCCCAGCATCCCCCCAACCTCCGTCCACTAACTTCACCATGGAGTGGCCCTCCCGTCCAAGGGAAGTTAATGGGCTAGAGAGGGCAGCTGCTCGGCGGGTAGGGAGGGGAGGGGTGAGGAGTCCACATTGTGATTTCCCATGTTTTGCTTAAAGGTTTATGAAGGTTACGGCCAAACCGAGTGCACAGCTGGATGTACCTTCACCACACCAGGGGACTGGACCTCAGGTAGGATGGGCTGGAGGTGTGGGAGTGTTTCATAGGCCACTGTCAGGTGGAGGCAGGAGACTTTAAAGCTGCTGTGGAGGAAGAGAATCTGCATGTAAAGTGAATGGTGGTTATGTCTGGGTTGTAGCATTATGTGTCTCTTGGGGTTTTCCTATTACACATTTTTGTGTTTTCCTGGTTTTAGAGGTGAACAGAAGTTTTGTTAGAAGTAAAAGAGAAAAGAAAGAAAAGGAAATAATAAGTCACATGATATAGCTCCAGGTGTAAAATTGCCTTTATTAGAATTTTTTATTTTATACATTTTAGATGCCACACAGTTTTGCTTTCAGTCATTTTAGAATGAAAGAAACACACTGGGAATCAAATGTGGAATTTAAGGAAGAGACAGATTCATATGGCCAGAACACTCTTTCTTTTGCCTTTTTTTTTTTTTTTAAAGATTTATTTTTATTATTTTTATTGGAAAGGCGGATATACAGAGAGGAGAGACAGAGAGGAAGATCTTCCGTCCGATGATTCACTCCCCAAGTGAGCGCAACGGGCCGATACTATGCCGATCCGAAGCCAGGAGCCTCTTCCGGGTCTCCCACGCGGGTGCAGGGTCCCAAAGCTTTGGGCCGTCCTCCACTGCTTTCCCAGGCCACAGGCAGGGAGCTGGAAGGGAAGCGGGGCTGCCGGGATTAGAACCGGCGCCCATATGGGATCCCGGGCGTGCAAGGCGAGGACTTAACCACTTGCGCCACCGCCGCCCCTGGCCCTGCCTTTTTTTTTTTTAAAGATTTATTTATTTTTATTGGAAAGTCAGATATATATAGAGAGAGAGGAGGAGAGAGACAGAGAGGAAGATCTTCCATCCAATGATTCACTCCCCAAGTGACCATAGCAGCCGAAGCCAGGAGCTCTTAAGGGTCTCCCGCATGGGTGCAGGGTCCCAAGGCTCTGGGCCGTCCTTGACTGCTTTCCCAGGCCACAAGCAGGGAGCTGGATGGGAAGCGGGGCTGCCAGGGTTAGAACCAGCACCCATTTGGGATCCTGGCGCGTTCAAGGCGAGGACTTTAGCCATTAGGCCACGGCACCAGGTCCAGCACTATTTCTTAAAGAGTCATTTCAGAGGCCATTTGGGAACCAGGATCTCTTGGGATGCTAATGTCTAGAAAACAGTGGAAACCTCCAAGGGCAGCAGCTCCCTTCTACACCCGCATTCTGAGAAGACTACTCTTTCAGGGTGAGAGGGAAATGATTTTGTGACAGGGAGCCCGTGTGTTGTCCATCAGTAGATTTACACCAGAGACAGGGAGAATCTGAAAACCACTGCATGCAAGAATCCTTCAGGCTTCCAACTTTCTCTGTGAGCCTTGGGCCATTCTTTATGCTTAAGTTGGCTCAACTGTACACTGAAAAATTTGGGATAAGGTATATACTGAAGAAATATGCTTATTAGTAAAATACTATTTTCAGAATATCTGAGGTAGCATAAACATGATAATGACATTCTAAATTGAAATTATATTTGGCCAAGTCAAGGATTAAAGTTTTTTTTTTTTTTTTCTGAGTTTTGTTTCCTTATACTCTAGCTGAAACAGCATTTTCTGTATAGGAAGGAATTTCAAAAATTTAGTGGAAAATGGAGTGAAAAATTGGTGCAGAAAACTTTGAAATCTATACATAGTTTATACACTCACACACATATGTAATATGATTTTCTCACAAACTATGTAAAGATTCCTAATAAATTCTTGGATCATTTTGCCATTCGTAAACTCCAGGTAATATGTCTGGAAGACCTGGCCCACTAATTTTTTTTTTTTTCTTATCACTGCCATCATACTGACCAGCCATTCTCTTGTACCCTCTTCCATTTGGATACCATTTTGCTTCCCTCTTATGTCACTGTCTGCGTTTTCCTATGTAAATCATTGAGATTTTTTTTAAATTCATCTTTACCATGGATCCTTGCAAAAGGTATTGGTAAGATTTGTATGTTACTGTAAAGGATTTGGCAGCCTGTTTTTGTTTTTTTTTTTTTACAAGAGTGATCAAAATGTCACAACTTTGTTTTTCATGTACCTGGGTCACTTTTCTTTCAGAACCTTGACTAGTACCTACTTAAACAAAAGCATCCATGTTGCCCTTGGATTATGCAATAACCATAATGACTACAGAGAATGACTTAGATGTACTTTTGTGGTTGAAGTACATAATATTAAAAAAAAAAAAACTGGAGTTTTATTTCGGGGCTCAAGTTACCTTAGCCTGCTTTTCTGTTCCTGTGTTATCCAACTATAATAACAGCATCACCTTGGTGCCTGTAATAAATAATATCATTGCTCATTCCAGCCTTCTAGGACAGAATATATAGTCTAACAGGATTTCTAACATTCCTATCCACATTAATCAACAGTCTAATGCCTGAAAGAAAGCGATAGTGGCTATATTTTATGATGCCCAAACCAAGATATGGATAAGATGTTTTAAGGTGGGCACAGTTATCAGAAATTATGACCCTGTAGTCCATAGTGGATTTTAGATCTCTCTCTATACTCAAGGACTTTGTACAGTTTGGTCCTGGGTCAGGTGTGCCTGCCTACTCTTTAAGAATCGGGTGTAAAACAAGAGTCTGGGGAAATGATTAGCCTTTTATTTCTCTAGAGCTCTCATCATTCACTCCCACCTGGGACAAGTGGCATCTAAAGCATGTTGTTTCCCATCCATAATTTCCCACTCTGACTGGGGCCTGGAGCATCTTCAGTTCTGAGACTGCCATGACACTGACAGATACTTTCCTGCTGCTGTCCTAGGGCACGTGGGGGCGCCTCTGCCCTGCAACCACATCAAGCTCGTTGACGTCGAGGAACTGAACTACTGGACCAGCAAAGGAGAGGGAGAGGTAAACCTCAGGACTTGGCCATTCATGTCTGTGGGTGCCATGTGAGTGAGTGCACGCAAACAGGAACAGAGGGTATGACCTCTTCCACTGCCTCCTGGTACATAAAGTTGTTTAAATCACCAGTTTGACTCTACTAAATTCAACATTTCCTCTCCTGTTTACACAGCAACCAACCTTCATGGCTGGGACCCAGCTGACCTAAATCAATATTTCAGAGTTCTGAATATTTGAAGTTCTTTTTAAAATATGGGATAGCCTGCTGTAGTGTCATCTGTCCCAGAGACACGAGGCCAGGTTTGCTAGCTCACTCCACGGGAGCGGGCATTAGAAGGCTTGGCATTCCTGCTGGAATGAACAAGCCCCCAGCATCTGTAATGAGATCCAATCAAGTGTGGCAAAGCAGCACATGCTGAGGCCAGAGGACCTCAGAGGAAGGAGATGGCTGAGGCCTTTCAAAGGGCATGTTGGGAGGAGATGGGGAAGGCACTGCTGGAGAGAGAGAACCCAAGAAAAGTGCAAATGGCTGGTGGCTGCCACCTGTCCTCCTTTTCTAGCTCCACAGTTTCCTCCACGGCTTTCCTGGGGGACAGAATGCCTTCTTCTCTGTGTGTCTGGTTGCGTCCCCCCTTTGCTGCATTCCTTGTGCCACGGCTAAGGGAAGCCATGGCTGTTTTCCCTGCAGATATGTGTGAGAGGACCAAATGTGTTCAAAGGCTACTTGAAAGATCCGAAGAATACACACGAGGCCCTGGACAGTGATGGCTGGCTTCACACTGGAGACATTGGCAGGTGGCTGCCGGTGCGTATACACTGGGAATAATGGAGTTTCATTTCAGCAGTCAGAGGTGGGGAGGACGTATATAATATAGCCCACTAAGGAGGAATCTTCTCTGTGTCTTCCCTGACAATCCATCACTCAGCATTATTTATTTAGGTGGCATAGCAGGCTGGTCTGCCTGCTAGTGCTGTCATCCCCATATGGGCACCAGTTTGTGTCCTGGCTGCTCCACTTCCAATCCATCTCTCTGCTTATCGCTTCAGAAAGCAGCAGAAGATGGTCCACATGCTTGGGGCCATGCACCCAAGCAGGAGATGGGGAAGAAGTTCCTGACTCCCAGCTTCAAATCAGCTCAGATCTGGCTGTTGTGGCCATATGTAGAGTGAACCAGTAGAAGGAAAATTTTTCTCTCTGTGTCTCTTTCTCTCTGTAAAATCTACCTTTCAAATAAAATGTTGCAGAGAGGGAAAGACAGAGATCTTCCATCCATTTGTTCATTTTCCAGATAGCTGCAGTGACCATGGTTGGGCCAGGTCAATGGCAGTGACCAGGGACTGCATCCAGGTCTCTCATGTGAGTAGCAGAGTCCCAGGTATTTGGGCCATCTGCTGCTGCTCTCCCAGGCCATTAGCAATGAGCTGTATCAGAAGTGGAGCAGCTGGAAAACGAACTGATGCCAATAAGGGATGCCAGCATTGCACATGGCATTTACTGCTATGCCTTTGGGATTAGGGAATTCTTTCTTTCATGGCCCCCTGGCTTCCCCTTGCTGTCTTCGTGGTGAAGGTGATGAAGAATCTGTGCGGGAGGAGACAACTGGGTCTTGGAGTTGCACTCCCTGTGTTTAGGAGTTTCTGCAAGCTCTGGTAGTGGGTGTGTGGTGGTGAAGTTGATGGAGCAGGGACTAAGTTCTTCTGAGTGGCACGGATACTGGCCCCTAACTAAGGTGGCACCTGACAAAGGAAGAAGCTTGAAGCCAGGCTGGAGGGTGCCCGAATTCTTTTGATTCTACTGACATTGCTTCTGTGACCCTTAACAAAACCGTATCCTTCTCTAGGCCCCTACCTTAACTCCTTGCCAGGGACAGTGAGCCTTCAGGGCAGGATGGCTGTGGTCCCTGGCTTTTATCCGAACCCAAACAAGTCTGCCTCATTTTCTCCTTCTTAAAATGGGGGATTATAATCACATTGTTACCTGATATAGTTACTTTGGTGAGGTACACACAAAGTTAGCTCACTGCTTGGCACCTGGGAGACACTGGGGAAATGCTTTGACCAGGAAAAGCCTTTGGTCCTGCCACCAAGAGCCTTTGCTTGGTGCAGCCTGCCCTGGGCTTCCCTCCTGAGTCTACAGGGAGTTGTAAAGGTTTCACACGGTCATTTTGAGTGGTTGTATGAGGTTGGACCCACAGCCCAGGGGCAGGTACACTGATTTATCCTTACTTGGATCTCTGTGTTTCTCAGTGAGAAACCTTCATACTTGGTGCAGACACAGCAGTAACCCCAGAATGTGCCCTGGGCTAGGAACTCTGCCCGGGGAACACTAATGTCATTAGTTATCAGTCTGTTGTAGTAAGCATGGCATGGAGGGCACACTTCCCATGGGACAGACACCCACTGGACCCAAGTCTCACGATCCAAGCAGGACTGTTGGGCCAGGGGATTGGCACATACTGAAGAGTTACCCTAATACTGTACAGCAAGCTGTAATAATTGAAGGTTCCTGGAGATTAAAGGGAGAGTGGTCAGAGAGGCCAGGGGGCCCTGGACACCTGTAGAAAGTGGGTTATGCCATCAGCCGGGGACCCCTTGCCCACCATTCATGTCATTTCATAAGAGATTTCTGAAAGCTGGCCCTTACAGTGGGACACCCTACAAAACCCCAAGTATGCTGCTGATTCATGTCCCTTGAATCCAGCAACCAGGAGCTTGTGAGAAACGAGAGAATGAATTTCCATGTGGCAGCCCATGTTGTGCTGGCGTGGAGCCTGGAGCAGACAGCAGGCAGGCGGTCTCTGTGGGAGACAATTTTTCACATCGTCACATCGTCGTTACTCTTTTTTTTTTTTAAAGATTTATTTATTTTTATTGGACAGTCATTTACAGAGAGGAGAGACAGAGAGGAAGATCTTTCATATGTTGGCTTATTCCCCAAGTAGCCTCAATGGCCAGAGCTAAGCCAATCTGAAGCCAGGAGCTTCTTCTTGGTCTCCCACGCGGGTGCAGGGTCCCAAGGCTTTGGGCTGTCTTCTGCTGCTTTCCCAGGCCACAAGTAGGGAGCTGGATGGGAAGCAGAGCAACTGGGACACAAACTAATACCCATAGGAGAAGCAGGTGTTTGCAGGTAGAGTCCTAACTTGTTGAGCTGTGGGCTGACCCTTGAAGCCTTTTATTTTTTTCTTTTTTCCTGGACTAGCATGTACAAAATTGAATAATTCATAATTAAAATTTAGGTAGAAGTTTTTTATAGAGGCATAAGTGTATTCCTGATTTTGAACAGTATCAGAGAAATTTTTAAAAAGGTCAGGTCTTCACAGCAGCACCGGGGCTTTCCAGCTGTGCAGCAGCTCGGGGACGCAGAAGCAGCAGGTGGGGGCGCAGCTTGGGACAGAGTCTGCAGGGTGGGGAGGGCAGGGGCCAGGCTTGGAGGGGTTGCTTGTTGATGAAGCTGTTTGCCCAACTCCACAGGAAGGAACTCTTAAAATTATCGACCGGAAAAAGCACATATTTAAACTCGCTCAGGGAGAATATATCGCACCCGAGAAGATTGAAAACATCTACACCCGCAGTGAGCCCGTGGCACAGGTCTACGTCCATGGAGACAGCTTGAAGGTGAGCCCACCCCCCACCAGGTCTACGTCCACAGGGACAGCTTGAAGGTGAGCCCCCCACCAGGTCTACGTCCATGGGGACAGCTTGAAGGTGAGCCCCCCAGCAGGTCTGCCCTCCACACGCTGATGGGACCTGCTGGGGAATGCAGAGTCAATTCCCCTCTCAGTTAGGTACCTGGAGTCTCCTATGTGTTTTAAACCTTGAGAGAAATTTCCTTTTTTAAAGGAGAAATCTAGATTACTTGGAGTTTGATCTAATAATACATACTGCCGTAATGTGCTCGACCTCCTTCTAGGAGAGGTTTCTGAGCTAACATGCTGAAGCAAGATACAAAGTTTCTTCTGGTGTAATTTTTAAATTGGAAAGTTAACTTTACAGGTAAATGTGTACAGTGTCTAGAAGATGGTGCTGGGTACAGTTCACCTTACTCGGACTACATTATCTGGAGGGCTTTTTTTTCCCCTCAAACATTTATTTTTTTCATTGGAAAGGTAGATATACAGAGAAAAGGAGAGATAGAAAGATCTTCTATCTGCTGGCTCATTCCCCAGGTGGCTGCAACGGCCAGAGCTGAGCCGATCTGAAGCCAGGAGCCAAGAACTTCTTCTGGGTCTCCCACATGAGTGCAGGGTTCCAAGGCTTCAGGCTATTCTCAACTGCTTTCTCAGGCCACAAGTAGGGAGCTGAATGGAAGTGGAGGAGCTGGGACACGAACCAGCATCCATATGGGATCCTGGTGGATGCAAGATGAGGATTTAGCTACTAGGCCATTGCGCCGGGTCCTGGATGGCTTTTGCAACTGCTTTGCTTCCCACATCATTCTGGTTTGGTGTACAGAAGGTCTCAGATACGCTGTAAAGATATCAGATATGTTGTATACTATCATTTTGCTTAGATAAAATTAACTCTTACTCAGAAGAAAATACCTTAAAAATTGAACTAGACTTCTTCACGAATGAGAATCATACTGGTGAAATACTATCAAATGATCTGGAAAGCCCAAGAGATATGTCTGAGCTCATAAACTTTGAATCCTAGAATTGCCTGATATAGCACCTTAAAGAAGTGTTGATTAAGCATGTTACTCTAGCTTTTTTCATCCTTAAATGTATTCTTTTGTGCTCAGAATTGAGGGAGTGTACCGTAACCTAAAGAGTCAGGAGGATGTGTGATATATTGGTGGAACTGTTTTATAATGTATGAGCAAATGTTTGATAAGCAACTATTTTTAGAAAAGGAATGTTATTTTTAATGCTAGACCACGAACAGCCACCCTGGAAGCCTTTGTCATGAGCATGCTTTCCCTTTGGTGGACATTGCAGGCCTTTTTGGTGGGCATTGTTGTGCCTGATCCTGAGGTCATGCCCTGTTGGGCCCAGAAGCGGGGAATCGAAGGGACGTATGCACAGCTCTGCACAAATAAGGTTGGTGTCTCGGAGCCATTTCCTGAAAGGTTGTTGAACATGTAAAGGTAATGCATAATGAGATACAGATCAGTGAAAGACAGTTGCAGAAAGAGAGGAGAGAGGGATGCAGGAATGCAAAGAAAAAGGAAGATAAAGAAGGAGAAGAGAGAAAGAGAGAGAGAGATCTCTTATGTACTGGTTCATTCCCAAAACAGCTACAACAGCCGAGGCTGGACTGGAATTCAGCCCAGAAGACAGCTGGGATTCAGGTCTCCAACGTGGCATTTGGGCCATCATCCGCTACTTTGCCAGGGATGTTATCTGGTAGCTGGATCAAAAGTAGAGGAGCCTGCACACAAACCAACACCCACACGGGATGCTGGCATCTCAGGTGGCAGCTGTATTCCGGGTTTTAGTCAGTTTCACTCCATGTAGATCAGGATGAATATTTTCATATATTGGATAATGGTATCATAGGTGGTGGCTTAACCTTCTACACCACATGCCAGCCCCAAGAAACTCGTGTTTCTTAGAAAGTTTAGTAAATGATTTTTAGAGCCAGGAGTCATCATAAAAAATCTTTGTCTATTCCAAGGAGAGAGATGACTTGCCCAAGACCACACAGCTGGTTAATAGGAGAGTCGGGGTGGCCCCAGGTGCTCTGGCCCTGGCCAGGTTCTCACATACCAAATAGATGAACTTGGAGTCTGCTGGGTTTGGAGAGATGGTCATGGTGTTGAGAAAGTAATGCACTTCTTCCTGCCGACTGCATTGTCCCTTTACACTCTTCCGCATCTTACTGGCCCAGGTGGGGTCCGGTGGAGCGCTGTGGCTATCTCTGACTCAGCCCCTTGAGTCCCAGTAGCAGCCATGCCTCCCACATCTCCGACCCGCCCCAGGTTCCTCAGGGGGTGCCTGGACTCACCTGATTGAGCAAAAATCCACTTGAAACCCTCGGAGTGGTCCTTAGCCTCCCCCTTGGCCATTTCCAGCACTGTCCTGCCTGCTTAGAGGTGGTGACCGGTGTGTTGCCAAGGAGAGCAGGGCTACTTGGGGTGCGAGGCAGGCAGCATGTGGTGGAGATGGTCAGGGAGCCCTATTAGCAAATGGCCCATTGTACTTTCTTCAAAGTGTGTTGTTTGCTGTAACTCTATTTTGAAATATATTCTTGTCGTTTTCCTCCTTTGGGTCGATTCAGGAACTGAAGAAAGCCATTTTGGACGATATGGTGAGGTTAGGAAAAGAAAGTGGACTCCATTCTTTCGAACAGGTAACTGTTACCACCCCCACACTTGCCAGGGCCCCGAAGACCATGAGAAAAATGAAACACGCGCCTGATGACCCTGGCTCACAGCCCCCGTGCACTGCTGGGCTGCTGAGCTGAAATCCGTCACGGGCCAAGTGAGGCAGCACTCCCTGTCCTCACTGTCACAGATACTCCCAGGCTGAAATACTATCCTGGCTGTCACCGGGGATCACGTGTCTGTGAGCTGCCTGGGATACTGAAGACTGGAGTCACGGTGGCTGTCCTCTTGGCTGCAGGGGGTTAACTTTCTGGCCGGGAGGATGTCAGAAAGCTTGGGTTCCTGCAGGGATCCATGGGCCCCCAAGGGTAGGGAGAAATGTGCTGGCAGCAGATGCGGGAGCCCTCAGAGGCTCTTTTGGCCGGCAGCACTTTGGGGCTTTGTAACCGAGTGCACAAGCAGACACGGTCCTTCTCACGTACACTCGTCAGCCAGAACGTAAAGCTCCTCAAAAAGCAGCAAATTCTTGATATACTAATTTGCAGTTTCTAAAAGAATTAGTTTTGATCCCAAAACAATAATTTTATCAAAATAACTTTTTAGTAGAACAAAAACTTCATCAAAATAATTGTCTTTCTACAGTTTCCCTCCAAATGCAGTGTTAGGAGCCTGAAAAGTTTATCAGTATTTAAAATTTATTTATTTGTTAATAACCTAAAATATTTTTATGTAAATATTATTTTCCCTTGATAGACATTTACATACAAGGGGAATCATCCACCTAAAAACATTTTTAAACCAATTTAAAATATAAAATTGTGAAAGTGCATGTATTTGAAAATAAAAAACATTTCCTCAGGTTACAATTATAATTTTAGGAAATTAAATACTTTAGGTTCTAAGACTATTGATTTCCTTTGAAATAGATCTTTGTATTAATCCAGTTTGAGAAATACTGCTTCCCTCCCATTTGTCAGTACTCTTAGAACACTTAAGTCCTGAATAAGATCTGTATATATATATTTTTAAATTATAAAGCCTGAGGCACTTGTGCAGATTATGTTAATCCTTCTGAATGAAAGCTCTGTTTTGGAGTCATAATTATTTAAATCTCCCATTTTCTAGAACTGACTCATTACTCTCCTTTAAACAGAGTTGCGTAGCTGGATCCTGTGTGATCCAGTTGTCCAAAGGTCACTAATAAGTGTTCCCAGGCCTTGTTGGGTTGGGGTTTGATTTCAAGGTTGGGCTGTCCCGCAGACCAAGGGGGTTAGCACATCCTTTGTGATTCTTGGGGCCTGTACGCCCCCTGCTGGTGATGGGATATGTGACCTGCCCCAGGCCTCTAACGTGCAGATTTCCTAATAGTAACTCATAAAATGACACTTACACTTTGCTTAAGTTTCCAGTGTGCTCTGTTTAGAGCTTTCCCCAAGAGATGTATTCTTGAATACCCACGTGCCTTACGCAGAGTTTCTGCTCTAATAATCTGCCCTCACCATGGTGACCTCACATACAGGGAAGCCATGTGGCATCCCAGAAGCCTTTAGTTTTACTGCCAGAACTGTCACCTTCTGATTCTTCTCTTTGTGGGCCTGTGGCAGCCTCACCCCCACAGGCGGTGTGCGCCCTCAGCTGACCTCAGGAGAGCAGCAGCCAGCCTCAGCTTGGAGGGCATGCTGCCAGTTGTGACCACAGCTCAACATGAATGGGTTCAGTCCACCCGTGTCCCGTTGTCAGCTTGTCCTTTCCCCTCTCCTTTTGAAATACGTGGTCAATTAAGACGAACCCTAATTAACGCACACACAAGTAAACACAACTAAATAAGCAAAACCATAAATTTGAATAATAAAACAAGTGCTTTACGGGTGCCTACTTACTGAGCTGGGTAAATCTGAATTAAACTTTGAATTAGAAGATAAAATTGATATGCCATAATATAGTTTTCAGACATATGCAATTCCTAGAACTAGGCCAACCATTACTAAATGTCTGGAACTCGTTGGGAGAGGTAATGAATAGATGGGAAGCGCTTATGATTGTATTAATAATTTAAAACATGTAGCTAGACTGGGACGTGTATAGCCATATTTAACACTATTCTTTGTATTTATATGCTTTATTAATTTGCAGAAGCAATACAGTTTTTCATTTTGACAGTAAACATGAATTACTACTATGTTAAATCCTGGGTTGAGAATTAATTTTGTTTGATTTAACTTTTGTTTTCTTCAAGCTACTTACTTTTGTCATCAGTGCGTTCCAAGTGCCTAGCCATCGTGTGCTGTCTCGCAGGCGGCTTAGCATGAAGCTGGATTGGAAGCTGAGTAGACAGGGTTCCCAGTGAGCACCCTTATCCGATGCAGGTGTCCAAGCAGCGGCTTAAGGCACTGCATCACGACACCAGCCCCTTTCACGTTTTTAAATCACTAATACGGGTTAAAAAAATGCCACAACTTGCTAGGCTATTTCTGAAACACTTTTAAGTATTGGAAGTGCATTCCAGAGAGTCTTCCCTTTCTTTCTTTCTTTTTTTTTTTTTTTTTTTTATTGGAAGGTCAGATTTACAAAGAGAGGGAGAGACAGAGAGATCTTCCAACTGCTGGTTCACTCTGTAAGTGGTGGCAATGGCCAGAGCTGAGCTGATCTGAAGCCAGGAGCCAGGAGCTTCTTCCAGGTCTCCCACATTGGTGCAGGGTCCCAAAGCATTTGGCTGTCCTCAGCTGCTTTCCCAGATCAAAAGCAGGGAATTGGAAGGGAAGTGGAGCAGCTGGGATATAAACCGGTGCCCTTATGGGATCCCCAAGCATGCCAGGCAAGGACTTTAGCCACTAGGCTACTGTCCTGGGCCCAGGGATCTTCTTTTTGTATCAAGTTCTCGAGTGTTGTGAAGAGGTTCTTAGCAGACTCCTCTGTCAGCATGCTCCCCGGCAGACACGCCAGGCTGTCAGTGTCGGAGTTGTTGGAAGCAGTCACCAGCATACTGAATTTCTGTAACAACTTACATACATTGGTTTCTTTGCTGTCAGTTATTTCTGGATGCTGTTCTCGATTTTTATAAGCAGCTCTCATGTGACAGCAGCATCTGACAGTAGCCGCTCATTCTGCTACTCACGTGGCTCTTTCTCTGCCTCAAGGCCAGGACACACCTCTGCCCTCCGTGTCTAGAAGGATCTCGGACTGTGTCTGAATGCCTAATCCTCGCACCTCTCCAGGCTATGTCTGTTCCTCCCCAAGTTTGGGACATCTTCAAATGTGCTCACGCAGAAACCTAGACCCTTAAATATCTGCCTTTCCTTACCACTTACCCGACCAGTTGCCAAGAGCTAGCTTCATTGCTGGAATCATTCGCAATCTCGCCTGTCTGCTGATCTTCCGGCTTCTACTCTTGCCCCACTTAACTTCCTTCCTCACAAGTCATCTTTTCCAAAGAGCCATCTGGTTCTCTTTCTCAGTGCTTAAAAATCATTGAAATAATCAGATCTAAACTCCCTCTCCAGGCAACTCGACCAGGCCCTGCTATTCTTTTGTTCCACGTGCTTCAGCCGCAGTAATACTAGACCACAAAGGCTGTGGCAAATAGCTTTTTCTTTTTTTTAATATTTACTTATTTATCTGAAAGGCAGAGCGAGAAAGAGACAGGGGGTGGGAATGGGGTGGGAGAGAATCCTCTGATTCACTCCCCAAGTGGCCACACTGCCTAGGGCTGGGCCCGTGTGCGGCTGAGGGCCTGCAACTCCCTGCAGGTCTCCCACATGGGTGCAAAGGCTCAAGGACTTGGGCCATCTCCTGATGCTTTCCCAGGAACATTGAGCAGGGAACTGGGTCAGAAGTGGATCAGCTTGGACTTAAAGTAGCACTCCTAAAGGATGCCAGTGTTGCAAGCAGGGGGCCTAACGTGCTGTACCATAACCCCGATCCTGCCTTCACACATCTCACCACCTGCTGAGTACCTGCCTCCTCTCAGTTCATATCCCCATCCCCGGCTTACTAGCTTTATTTGACTAAAGCATGTCTAATGACTTCAACTGGGCATCCATTTTCAATGACTCCCAAGCCAGGAAGTTAATAGAAACTTGAGTTCATTTCTTAAGCACATCCCTGCTCCTCCCATGTAATAAGCTAAAAGATAGGTGAGCCAAGGAAAGAAAAGGGAGTATGAATGGAGATAATTGTGCCTGGATGTTTTATTAGTAAAGCAAAACCTTCTCCCGGCCAAGTAATAACCAGCCCCAATCCTGCTTAGCTTCTGAGATCAGATGCGTTCGGGGTGGTATAGCCGTAGACAGGTAAAGCCTTCTCTTTCTCACTAGCCAGGTCTGGATCACATGACTTACAGCTGCAGGGTAGTGGAGGATGAGGTGCTAGGGGTGGGATCTGGGAAATCAGAGAAGAGGATTTTCATGACTCAGGTGGACCATTTGTCTCCAAACCAAGTGTGGGTCCTATGAGCAGGCAAGTGGAGATTCAGTGATGGGAAAGCAACTGACTTCCAGGCACGGGTGACGCTGGCCGTGTTCGCCGCCTAGTGGTCATACCGCGCATCTCATGTAATTGGGCAGGTTTTTTGTGTCTGCTGCCTATGGCAATGCTTGACACATAGCAGTTGGTCAATAAATGTCAGCAATGTATTAAAAGAAGTAAATGCATATTTGTATTTAACACATACTTTGGATTCATTTAGAAGTCTGTATCATAGTGATTCACAACCCTGATGTAAATGTATTATCTCAACAAAATCTTTGAACTTGTTGCCCGTTGTCAGTCAGCTCAGGACATGCTCTTTATTGGAGACGGTGTTACTTAGGATTAAGCCCAGGCCCAGACCGGAAGCATGTCAGGGAACTGACAGTGACCCTTCCTGCTGGAGCCTGGTTGGAGAGGAGCTGTCCAGGTCGTTCCCGGTCACTTTGACTTTTCTGGTCCCCATTGAGTCTTGTTAAAGAAACGTTGTGGGAGGCAGTATGGGAGCTAAGTCTCACCCCACCATGTCCCTCTCCAATAGATTTGATAAGATTCATGGTGTAACATTCAAAAACTAGGACTCATCATGTCCTGCCCTGATGTTACAGCTCTCTGTTCAACGGCACCTTTGTCTTTGTAGCTGTGGAAAGCAGCAACCTGCAGGTCCTTGGGGCTGCCCCTCTACACTACTTCTTGCCAGTTTCTCTGTCAGCTGTTTAGAATAGCTTGTTCATCTTTATCACTATGCACGTGTTCCTTCTAAGGAGTTGTCCTACTTTCAGTCCTAATTTTCTCAAAAATCATCTTCCCTTTTCTCCTCAGAGTGCTCTTTCCAAGGAATGTATCCAGTCCCATCACTGCCCTGTATAGGAACATTCAGTCCCTTTCTGAGGTCTTCAAGATCAAGTTTGAGCTCCTCTATTAGCTGGCGGCTTCCTTCTGTGTGCCCCTTTGCCCTACATTTTTTGTGACAGCAGGAAGAAAATACTTGGGTTTCCATTGTCATGCTCTGCCCATTTCTCATTCCCCAACGCGTCGTTGTCGCTGCTTGTAGTGCCCTTCCCCCCCCTTTGCTGGTTAGCTGCTACTCACTTTTGTAACTGTCACCTGACGTGGCGGCGGAGGGCAGAGGGCAGGATCTACCCTGACTGCTCATTTCCCCTCCCCTGATGGAGTTGGTGCCCTTTGCCCTCGTCTGCCCTGCTTGTGATTGTGTCTTCCTGCAAGGTCTCCTAGATTCCACTGTGTACTTGCTGAGGCACGGGCATTCAGCATTCTTTGTGTCGTCAGTATCTGGCCCAGAGAAAGTGCCGATTTGTTTCTGTTGACTGGATAAAATGATTGAGAAGAAAGTACACCAGGTGACCTTTAACCATGTGAAATGAGCTGAACTTTTTCATGTATTTTTGACTTAGCATACTCTGTGTATGAGGTCAGTGTGTCTACCTGCATCTGCATGTTTGCTTTGTTTCAGGTATGCTCTTGATGCTGTGTTTTATTCCTATTGAAGCTATGTTCTGTATTTGGTTTTTAGGTTAAAGCCATCCACATCCATTCTGAGATGTTCTCAGTTCACAATGGTCTGCTGACACCAACACTAAAGGCTAAGAGACCTGAGCTGAGAGGGTACTTCAAAAAACAAATAGAAGAGCTTTATACAATCTCCATATGAAGGTCAAGGAAAAGTCTTCTCAGTACAATGGACTGTGTAGCAATATTATAGTTATTCTTGAAAGAGTCAAAACAACGCAGCTGAACATGCGTAAGACCTGATTTTATGACTGAGCCTCTACCTGTCCCAAGAGATCTTTAACAATATTTTCTCTATCATCACTGAGTACACTTTATTTTTCCTAAAATGACATTGTAGCAAGCTGCTAAAAATATCACAAATGGCAATGTAAAATCAAGACATTTTTCTCAAGAACTGTGTACCACTAAAAGTAATATATTCTCAATGTTCACAAAACTCATATTAAACATTAAAAAAAAGTAACTGACATTGTATTTAATTATTTTTGGAATAGTAACTAGGTAACAGCAAATATCTAAGCAATGTGGACTCCCTTATTCAATTACTGATTGTCAAAATCATAATTAAGTGAGACTTAAAGCTAGGCATACAGAAACATGCTAAAACATGATTATTGACCCTAAATAACTTCAGTCTTCAACTATAATTCCTATCATGAAAAAAGTTTCTTTCTGATTTTGATGAAATCAGAAAAATGAGACATGAGATTATAAGAGTCCACGTTAAGATAAATGTTATATGACAACTTGCAAAGAGTTTTCAATACAATTTGTCATTAAGTTCATCAAGGCATTCAGAAACTACCTAGAAGAAAAAGTGATGGTAAACAAATCAAGGCCAGTGTACACATGTTCGTGGACTTGCAGCCGTGATGGAGTTGACTGTGCAGGGCCTGAACCCTTCTGTGACGGGGAAGACGTGAAAGAAGAAACTCGGAGTTCTTTCTCAGGGTAGGCAGAGTTAACATGCCTGTATTTTTTTACCAGGGCCTTCCCATCTTCCCTTCCCAGGATATCCATGCAGGAAATCCAGTGCAACTATGGTTCTGAACAATTTCACTTTCAGTAAGAGCATCAAAGCAAGATGTGAGGAAAAGAGGGATGTTATTTTCCAAGAAAATAATTTTATCAACAGCATAACTGAAAAAAATCTCTTAAAGATGACCCTAGAGAAACCAGGTAGATTCATTACAGAGACATACTAGCGAGGGTATAATCCTATTAAAATCTTTAAATGCTGCTACATTCAAATGCAAAAACCCACTTCTTGCATCATGTGATTAGATATAATCTGTATATAGATGCTATCAAATTTGTGTAATTAAATCCCCGTTAACAACTAAGTTCCAGGCTGCACACTGCACTGGCAGAAGGCATGGCTCCTAGGAAATTGTTCTTGTGGAGGGACAGGACTGTGGGGGCGTGATAGCCATTTATATGCAGTCGATGTGTTTCTCTGAGGTGTGTGTTCTCACTGCTCACACTCTTTCCCTGGAAGACATTAAGGCTACATGGTACTTTGAGTTAAGGCATGTACAGGCACACAGTTCTGACATGTCTGCATCAGTGAGTATGCACTTCCATGTGTCAAAAGGGATCACAGCTTATTGGACACAGCTCATCTTCTACATATTCCCTGGGTATATCCTCTCCAAGGAACCATTGCCGCACGTGCAGATTTGACAGTTAATGAGTGACCAGATTCTGTGCACACTAAGTTTTAATTTTTAAAGGCATTTCTGAATAAACAAATATTTCAAGGGTCCCAGTTCCCATCTGTATAGCATTAGGGTTTTTTTTTTTAGATATATTTAATATGTATCCTGACTTGGATATTTGTACTATTTTAAGGACAAGTAGCTTCCCATTCCAGTGGGAGGAAAGAATGCTATTTCTCATTGTCTTTCCACTTGACTAAAATTTCACAGTTGGCTTTGATTGCAAGTGAATTTTGAACAGTAACATAAGCAAATGTTCTAAAACTTATTTTGAGTCTGTTTGTACCTCACAGTAGTTAGACATGATTGATCATGAATAACTTAAATTTTTTTCTTTTTTTCCTTTAAAAGATACTGTATTTCTACCAGATTTCCTGATTTTGGAAATCATCAAGCTTGGGCCAAATGAATGTGTTAGTACAGCTGTGCTGAGAAAGTAAACAGTGCATCCTACATATAGAGCCTGTCCATGTGTCTGTTCCTCATTAACTCCACCTGACTTGTAATAAAGGAGAAATGGAGTACTACGCAAAGCAGAAAATTCATTCTTGCTTTATATTCCCCAACTTGGGGGTGGGGTGGGGAGGAAAATGTTTGTATTTCTAAAAAGTATAGGAGAAGGCATTGGATCTTAATCAATCTAGAGTTATAAGAAAATTAGTCCCTCGATTATAAATATGTTCTTAAGTATTGGCTTTTGTACTCATTTCTTCTTCAGATGTATAAATAATCATCAGTTTTATAAATAAACCATTTTATGTATATTATGAGTACATATGAATACACATCAATTCTTTTTCTTTTTACCATAAAAATAAGTCTTTGCATAATATTGTGACCTCCCATTCAGATGCAGACTACCTATCAGTAATTCACAAATTCAGAAGTCTAAGGATTAAATTCACTGTTTCTTCCTCACATAACTAAGTCATTATTGCATCCTAAATTTAGGTACAATCACAAGCCTGAGGAAGAAATAAAGTTGCCTTTAAGATTTTTTAATAATCAGGCAATATTTTGGCAAGTGTTGGGAACAACACTTAGTTTGATTATACTGCCCATCAAAGAATGAATAATCATAAATATTTTGCAGAAAAGGAAAGGAATTTTTCTTTATTTCCCAGATGCATAAAGCACAAATGTGATACACTTATTTAAAGATCAAAATGCTATAGGTGAATGTGAAAGTGTACTTTTGCATGAGAACAGACTACTTGCAACCTTTCTTAATATCTCAGGAAAAGACTTCTTGCCAGTTTTTATTTTCAGGAAGTACTTACATGGGGAGAAAAAAGGATCCTAGTAGCCTGGCTTTTCTCTCAAGTATGCAACTTAGTCTTTTCGGTGAAGCTACAATTAACTGCAGTAAGAACAGAATTAGCATTCACGTGAGGAAATCAAACTCCAGTTGGGACACAGTAATGGCTGTAGCACTGAGGAAACAGACAAATGCTTGGAATGTATGCATTCCTAAACCTGCTCGCAACAAAAGGCGTACATGAAGTGGCGATAGCTTCTAAATATTAGTTTGGCTGACTCTCTTAACTTTCCTTGCTAAATGACTGCAACATCTGCATGGGGGAAAATGAATATTTTTTAAAGAATTGCTTATTCTTTCAATTTTTAAAAGTTGAGGGGAATAAAATACTACCTTTTAAATATGCATAAGGCATCTTAATTGTAATTATATTTTCATTTGCTTTGTTACAATAGCATGCATATCAATTACAAAATGCAATGAAAACTTTTGTAAAAAATAAAAGATTTTTTTTTCATTTCTCATAGTTGCTTATAATTACTATTTCATGTGTTTATTTACCGTCCCCTGATGTCAGTGTATGTGGTAGTCACCATTTGCAGTGCATTCAGAAAACATTGTATTAAGCTGTTCTAGTCTGTGTCCCCATGCTCTCCGTCCTGGCCTCTCCATCTGTAGTAAGATCCCCCAGACTCCAAAGTGGCCGTGCTGAAACTCCTGCTATTAAGAGATGTGTCCTGGATTTAAATCACTTTTACCCTTAAAAGCTGGTGAAGTTTTTTTTTTTTTTAATCACAATGGTCCTTAAAAAAAAGATTCATTTTTTTAAAAGATTTATTTTTATTATTATTTTTTTATTGGAAAGGCAGATATACAGAGAGGAGAGACAGAGAGGAAGATCTTCCGTCCATCGATTCACTCCCCAAGTGAGCGCAACGGCCGATACTATGCCAATCCGAAGCCAGGAGCCTCTTCCGGGTCTCCCATGCAGGTGCAGGGTCCCAAGGCCTTGGGCCGTCCTCAACTACTTTCCCAGGCCACAGGCAGGGAGCTGGAAGGGAAGCAGGGCTGCTGGGATAGAACCGGCGCCCATATGGGATCCCGGGCATGCAAGGCGAGGACCTTAACCACTGTGCCACCGCGCCGGGCTAAGATTCATTTATTTTAACTAGAAAGATTTACAGAGAGGAGAGACAGAGAGGAAGCTCTTCTGTCTGCTGGTTCACTCCCCAAGTGGACACAATGTCCAGGTCTGAGCTGATCAAAAGCCAGAAGCTTCTTCTGGGTCTCCCACACAGGTGCAGGGTCCCAAGGCTTTGGGTCATCCTCAACTGCTTTCCCAGGCCACAAGCAGGGAGGTGGATAGGAAATGGAGCAGCCAGGACACACACCTGTGCCCATATGGGACTCCAGGACATGCAAGGCAAAGAATTTAACCACTAGGCTACCATGCCAGGCCCCCCCATAATGGCCTTTAAAACAGTAGTTCCGTAATGTCTTTTAGTCCTTTGCAGATTTAATAGGTACCATCTCTTAAAAATCATGCCTTCTGGGCCTCGCGTGATAGCCTAATGGCTAAAGTCCTCACTTTGAATGTGCCAGGATCCCATATGTGCACCAGTTCTAATCCCGGCAGCCCTGCTTGTGGCCTTGGAAAGTAGTTGAGGATGGCCCAAAGCTTTGGGGATCCTGTACCCACGTGGGAGACACGGAAGAGCTCCTGGCTCCTGGCTTCAGATTGGCTCAGCTCCAGTCATTGTGGCCGCTTGGGGAGTGAACCATCAGACGGAAGATCTTTCTCTGTCTCTCCTCCTCTCTTTATATCTGCCTTTCCAATAAAAATAAATCTTTTTTAAAAAATCAAGTCATGCTGCTTTCCTGTTTAATATTCCTTCTTAGCAAGGTTCCCCATGGTTTCCTGCATAACATTGGAACTCCATGGTTCAATAGGACTAGCATCTCTTCTGTTTCCCGACAGAGTTTTGGCTCCAATCATACCAAACACCTTTGTATTGGCTAAAACTGTTACGCTTTCCTGAGTTGTAATGCCTTCACAGCTCCCCTTCCTAGAATGGCCCTTCCTTTAACACCCTCCCTCCCCATCAGACGACTCCATTCACATCTGAAAATTCAGCTTCAAGCATCTTGTCCTCTGAGAAGCTTCCTGCATGGTCGATTGGTTGATGGCTCTTCTGTCCCCATCCTCATTCAGACGGAGCTGCTTGAGGTTTTGGCCTCAGTGCTGGAGCAGTCCATAGATGTTCTAGAAATGTCTGTTGAAAAAGTCCCTCAGCCCCTTTTCATATGCTGCACAGCCCTAAAACTACAACACCCGAAAGAACAGCCATCCATCCCCAAGATGGATTCCGCTATTGTCGACTAAACAAAAAGCAGCCACCACCAGTTTTTCAGTTGGATGCCTGAAGCCTATGTGTTACAACACGAAGTTGCTCATGGGGTTACCGCAGAGAATGTCATTCAGAAAGGTTTCCTTTGGGCTTTACCGGGCCCCAAAGCCACAGACTGGCTGTTTTCCAAAATGTTTCCTTCAGAAATCTTTGCAATTTGTGAT